GTGTCTCACTGTGTAGTTTATTTAGATTGGCCTTGAACTTGATATGCAGTCCAGGCTTGCATTAAACTTGCAGCCATGATCCTCTGGCCTCAACTTCCCAAGTGTTAAGATTGTAGGTATCTACCACCATGCCTGTCACTTTTGCTTTTAGTTGTATAAAAGGAAAACAGAATTTCAGTCCACCAAAAACAGCTATATTAACTTGAATAGGAGGGTTTTTTCCTCCCCAAATGAAAGTAGAAGAAATATATTAAGAACCTGAGAGATTGGAACTGTCACTATCTGTAGTTCTGTGTAAGATTAGATAATTTAACTTATACTACACTGTTTAGCCCATAGAGTCTGGACTGTTACTCATAGATTTAAAAATAATGCCTAAGGGCAATTTATATGTTTAGGAAGGAGCCACCCTTATAGTCATAATTTCAGGTGTTTGACAGTTTAATTTTCTTTTTCACTGGAAGTATTCCCATGTGATTGTGTTATAATTATACTGATATTCTTTCCTCTTTCTCAGTTGCTTTCCGTATCTACGACATGGATAAAGATGGCTATATTTCCAATGGGGAGCTTTTCCAGGTTTTGAAGATGATGGTGGGGAACAACCTGAAAGACACACAATTACAGCAAATTGTAGACAAAACTATAATAAATGCAGATAAGGATGGAGATGGAAGAATATCCTTTGAAGAATTTTGTGCTGTAAGTATGAAAGAGCTGGTTCTTCTTTTTGTGATTTAAAGACATACTTAAAAGGTACTTAATAAGAGTGGACTAGATTTGAGAATGCACTGCTACCATATGGTCCCTCTCCAGCGTTTTACTGTCTCTTTCTTTCTCCTCCACCAGCACAACCAATGATGGAAGGGCTACAGTGCACTGATGTGTGACATATGACCAAAGTGGTAGTAGCATTGTAAATAGCCAGGTTTTTTTATTTTTAAGTACATGTTCTCAGTACATAATGGTTACATTTATCCTAAGGATTTTGGTATATGTACATAATGCATCTTAATTCTTGTAACATTTCTTTCCACTCAGCAACCAGTTTTTAAAAGAAGGAAAAAATCTCAGGAATGAAATAAATTTTAAAAACTCTGGGTTTTTTAAATAGGGGTGCATATATATGAAGACTGTTATTTATTACCTAAGGAGAATACAAAATAGTAACAAAAAATTAGAAAGAATACAGAACTTCAGACAAATCAATAGTAATTTGACAGTGGTTGCTGTATTGCTTAACAATGTCTTCATATTAGTTGTTCAGAGTACCAGACATAAGCATGCAAAATTGGCTTTATACAAAAAATGATATTAAAGATGAAAAGAAAAAAAAAACATTAAACATCAACTGCTCCTCTCTGTAGACCAGCAGAAAACAGCAGTACAATTATTCAATTATCCAGGCCATCCTGCATACATGCATAAATATAACACCCCTCCAGGAAGCCTTCAGGGCAGGCCTGGTTTGGCTTGAGGATGAAGGGATCGAACCACTGCATCCTGAGCCTGACTGCTTTGTTTCGGCAGGCACTTAAACACCTGAGCTAATGGGCAGGCCCCTGATTCTTTCCCTTTGAGTATCTATTGTACCTTTCAGATTTTATGTACCTTTCAGGTTTTTACACAAGGGAGACAATACAATGTTTGCACATGCAGGCCTGATTTATTTCACATATGAGTATGGTTTCTGGTTCTATCTATTTACTTATAAAAGCCTCAAATTTTATCTTTTTTTTTTTTATAGCTGAGTAGTGTAGTACTCCATTGTGCAAAAATATATCGTTTTTATTTATACCTCACTTAATGGGTATTTGGTTTTTTTTTCCCAATTTAGTTATGACAAATTATGCTGCTATACACATGGATGCACATATATCACTGTAGTATGTTTTCAGTTCTGGAAAAATACCCAGAAGGGGAATAGCTGGGTTGAGTGGGATCTCTAATCTTAGCTTTTTGAGGAATCTCCACACTGATTTTTATAATGGTTAGCAGCATAAGCCCCTTCTGGCATGTACAAGGTCCTGAGTTCAGTCCCCTATACAGAAGAAGAAAAAAAAAAAAACCTATTAAAACTTCGCATTTAGTAAATATTAAATGTATCATACACCTCACTTAGTGAAATTGAAATATATCTTTATGTTTAAAAATGAAGTTATCGGGGCCGGGGAGATGGCTCAGTGGAATAAGTGCTTCCCTGGCAAGCGCAAGGGCCTGAGTTCAATCCCCAGTTCCGCCAAAAAAAAAAAAAAAAAAAAAAAATGAAGTTATCTATATTGAAACCATAAGGAAAGCCTTATGTTTTCTTTCCAATATTTATAATAAATTAGCCTTGTATTTTTGAGAGGCGTAGTCCCTAAGTGGAGAAAAATGTTTGGTGTTTAAAATCATGTTTCTAAACATTGATAGAGGGTGTGTAATTTTGTCTCCATTATGTTCTTTTTCTTCTAACTTCTCAACTTATAATAGTGAAAGAGGTAGAAAATTTATTTTAAAAGAATATTCACAAGGGCCGGCCAGATAGCTCAGCGAATTAAAGCGCCTGCTTAGGCAGACGCAGGGGTCAGAGGTTGGATACCTGGCCTGCCTTGCCGGCCCTGCCCTGGGACACACAGAGACAGCAAATGAGACTGTGCGTGTTGTGCGCCTGTAATCCCAGCTCTTGGGAGGCTGAAAATAGAATCACTGCAAGTTGGACCTGTGTAGTGAGACCCTATAGACCCTGCACTAAGAAAAAGAACATTTGCTATAAACTTTAAATGCTTCAGAATACTTAATGGATAAGTAAATCTTTCATTTTTTTAAATTAAATTTGTGATGCTTAGCATTGAACTCAGGACTTCATGAATGCTAGGCAACCATTCTCTACCACTGAGCTATATATCCCCAGCCTATTGTATTGTATTGGTTTTTTTTTCATAATTTTATTGAGAAACAAATAGCAATGAGACAGTTTCAAACCAAATTGGTAGGACACTTTCAGTAATTAACACATTGCATACATTCTTCCTAGTGGTTAATTGCTGTACAAGATGCAGACATGATATCTTATTTACAAACACTATTACAACAAATCCCTCTGTTCATTAAGAGAATGTAACTATATATCTATCCTAACCAATTGTATTGTATTGTATTGTATTGTATTGTATTGTATTGTATTGTATTGTATTGTATTGTGATTTTAAATTACTCAGGCTGGTCCTAAACTTGGGATCCTTTTGCCTCAATCTCCTGAGTAATTGGGATTATAGATATACACCACCACGTCTGGCTAAGTCTTATAAATTATTAGGGACCATATTAAATGGGACTGAACACATGCATTTATTTTTGCTTCCTCTCAAATTTGAATAAAATGAAAGGGTTAAACAAGGAAAGGTTACAAACTGAACTCACAAAGACAAAATGAATAGCAGAGAAGATAGCAACCAAGTTTGGTTCTTTAAAAAGTTAAGAGGCAAACTAACCCATTCCCAGAGTTGTCAGGGCCCTAGCCTAGGATCACCAGTCTCCTGCTTAGGGATGTGATAGTAAAACACAGACAAGGTACATATTTCAGTTACGAGAAACACCAGAGTGGTCAGAGCACAATAAGGACAAAGACCATGAGGCACAGTTGTCCTTGGCCTCTTTTTTAGGTGCACAGCATGATTGGAGATGTGCTGGAGGGCTACAGGAAACAGTGGGGTGAACTGCTGATTCTGTAACGGTTAAGGTTACAGAATGAAGAACAATATGTTTTTGTAAAAGCTCACAGCAACAGATCATGGCTAACTAGTAACCTCGTTATTTGCTCATTGTGACTACTGAGCTAGAAGGAAGTTGCATGAATCAAGTCCTCAGCTGCATGTCGTTATGCTTTGAGGTGTCAGAACTTCATAGACTATTTACTAGTCTCAGTTGTAACCATTGGCTTAAAGATTAACCTGCCCTTACTCCAATCATGGGTCTTGCTAGAAGTCATGTAGGCTTAGGACAAGCTCTTGATTTGTTCTTATGCCAATTTATTAATATTGTTACCTGCTCTGTACTGTATCCAGCTGGTCCTCAGAATTGAATCTCTGAATAAAAGATGCAGAATTATACATCATCTTAAAAATATGAGAAGCAAGGGGAACTACCCACTCACCCCGCCCCATCCCTCTCTTGGACAGGAGGTTTCTTTCTCTCAATAAATATATTCTGCTCAAAAAAATATATATATATGAGAAGCAGCTTTGTTTATAGTGCAAAGTCCCTAGAAGGCTGCCAAATTGGAGGCATGAATAACTCTGGGGATGAAGATGAGGCTGAAAACAGGAGAATTGGTTAAAGTCTGCCTTTAGAAGTCATTGATTAGAACACTGAATCTTCTCTTCTCTGTTCAGCTAGGCAGCTTTCTCTCCCATTTAGTAGTAAGCACTGGGGAGAGACTGTGGGCTTGGAAAACTGGTCAGGGTGGGGTAGGTGTGTTGGAAGTTCAGTGAAAATATACATATTTACATGTTGTTATGTCTAGTCTTTTTCCTGGACCAAATTTCCTGGCATTGGGACTTAGATACTCTATAGGTAAGAGATAGAGTCCTCTTTAGAAAATCTTACCTTCCAAAAGTGGGCCTATCAGGTAACTTAAAATATACTTGGAATCACTATTCCCAGCATACACATAGAGGTTCTAGTGCCCTTTCCACAGAAACAGAATAAGGAAGCACAGACATAGGATGAGAATCTGTACCCATGGAACATAGAAACCAAAGCAAATCTTAAAAAAAAAAAAAAACTTGGAAGATACAGATTGGCAAGGCCAGAAAGGAAAGCCTGTCTAGTGTTACCCTCTCAGATATGATACATTGAATTTTGAGAACCACAATTGAATAACATATAAAAGAGGTCTTAGGAATTTAAATTTAAAGGTCCTAGCTGGGTGGGCATGGTGGCACATGCCAGTAATCCCAACACTCAGGAGACTGAGCCAAGAGGATCCTTGAAAGTTCAAGGCCAGCGATAGCCACATAGTGAAGTCCTCTCTCTCCAAAAAAAAAAAAAAAAAAAGGCTCCATTTTTAAGAATTGTAACACCTGAATGCTAAGGATCTCAGAAAATGGAAGGGGGAACATCAGTGATAATGAATCAAGGACATACTTCAGACCTAAAAGTAATATGCTTCCTGATGAATGTGTGTGTATTGTAGTTACCTTCCTGTCACTTGGGCAAAGTATTGGATACTGGAAACTTAGAGGAATTTAATTTGGCATACATTTTCAGAGGTGTTAGGCCTTGGCTGGCTTGTTCTGTGGCAGAAGCGTGCAGTGGAGCAAAGCTGTTCACTTTGTGGCAGCAGAAAGCAGTGCATGGGGGTAGAGACAACACCAGTGAGAGAAACATCCTCCAAAGGGCCTTGCAGTCCACCCTGGGGCTTTCCTTGCATTACAACAAGCATGTTCAACTGTGAACATCAGTGGATTAATCCAGTTAAGAGCATAGTATCCCAGTACCCAGCCACCTCTCCAGAAGTTGTCCTGATCTACTTGAATTGACAATTAAGACTAGCCAGAGGACTGGGAAGATGGCTCAGTAGAATAAGTGCTTCCCTGGCAAGCACAAGGGCCTGAGTTCAATCCCAGGTTCTGCAAAAAAAAAAAAGCTAGAACACTTAGTATCCAACATAGTATATAAAAAAATAATCTGGACATAGATATAGTACCGTGAAATTGAAAGCGGTGGGATTAGAGACAAGTCTAAAGAGAGCTGGAATAGTAAGATGGAGGCATAGGAGAGGAGCTTCATATAGTCAGGAATCATATTCCAGGGTGAGAAATGCATAGATAGTGATTGAAGCTTTTAAACCAAGAATAAAAGCAGGGCCGGCCAGATGGCTCAATGGATTGAAGCACCTGCTTAGGCAGTGTGCAGCAGCTGGGATTTGATCCCCGGCATGCTGTGCCAGCTCTGCCCACGGGGCATGCTGAGACTTCAGTGGAGACTGGGCATGGTGGCGCATACCTGTAATCCCAGCGCTTGGGAGGCTGAAAACAGGAGGATCACTACAAATCTGATCTACATAGTGAAACCCTCTAGACCCTGTACTAAATACAAAAAAAAAAAAAAAAGGCAATGTAGAACTATTGTTTGAAGACCTGAAGGTAAATAGTGAAAACTATTTCAAGCAGTTATCACTTTGAAAAGAAGAGAATAAGAGCAGGGTAGTAAATTCATAGTAGGCCTTGTGAAACTAATTGGCTTCTTATATATTTGGCGTGGTTTTATTTTGTTGGTACCAAAGATCGAACTTAGGACCTTGCGCTTGCCAGCCCATTTATGCTATACTTTTAAGATTTAAAAAATAATTTAAAAATAATACAGATGTCATTGTACACAAGAATAGGGGGCTGGTTAAATAACTCAGTAGATTAAAGTGCCTGCAAGCAGGCACATGGGCGGGGGGCGGATGAGGGGGGTCCGATCCCGGGGCACGCTGAGACAGTAGTTGAGACTGGGCATGGTGGCATCTTCCTGTAATCGAAGCACTTGGGAAGCTGTAAACAGGCAGATCACTCACTGCAAGTCCGATCTAGTAGTGAGACCCAGAACACCCTGTAGACCATTCCCTAAAATAGAGGAAAAAAGAAGAAAAAAAAAAAAGAACATGCATTAATCTCTCAAGCAGCTAGACTAAAATATCCATTTATACAATGTATAGACAAAACTAAATCATGGCATTATAAGCCAGAGTAGTCACTTCTGTGTGTGTTTGTTGGAGTTGAGGGGGGATGGCTAATGCCTAGAATGGAGCCAGAGAAGACTTCCTAATAATGGTGTGGCTGCTAGTTATTTGGTTTTTGCTTTGTGAAATTTATCAAGCTGTGGACATTTATGACTCTTCCCCTCTGTGTAGGTTGTATGTATTAAGGCATCTCAGAATAACACAGATGCTTATACTTTTAGAATACCATGTCAGAAGTCCCTGAGATGTATAAAACTTCATGGAAAAGTAGGGTATAGAAAATTTTATTTATTCGCAATTTTGAATACCATCTAGGATAGACAGAAAAGCCCTATTACCCTAGATGGAAGAAACCATGAAATTTTTAAAGTAGAGTCACTCATGGTTTCTTTGTGAAAATACAGCTTCTGGAAATGGCTAGTGTTTTTAAATTGCACTTTTGTTAAGATAGATGGCTAGACTATATTTTACAAATATTGTTAAGCTTTGTTCTTGTCTGTTGCAGGTTGTAGGTGGCCTAGATATCCACAAAAAGATGGTGGTAGATGTGTGACTCTTTGAAGAGCACCACCCAACACTTTTGCTTTCTTCTCCATCTCTGAAGATCTGCTCAAGACGTCCAGCAATGCTCTCTGTGTATTTAAATGGAAGTATTTTTCTCTGTGAAGCCACATTTTCCAACATGAGCCTCATGAAGCCAACTAAGTGTTATTGAACTCTTCTTCTCTCAATAACTCAGTGTAGCACTTTAAAGTCTGAAGGACAGCAACATGAAAAGAGCATATCAATGTGGTGGAGAAAGGGAAGGGGTTGGCTTTTTAATTTATTTTTCTTCATCTTTTATAACAAGAAAGTATCTATATATACATATGTAAATATTTATATATAGATATATGTAGCTTTCTGTATATGTGGTAGGTTGGCTTTAATTTAATATACTTGATTCAGAAACAAAACGATAGAGTACAAAAGTGCCAAGCAGAACATACAACATCCTTACTTTTATTTCACACAGTTTTATATGTAGATAGAAGATTGTACAATTTGAGCCGGGTGTTAGGCCAGCTATTTACCTGTGCTTTCTCCTTTGAGAGATTGACAAAGCATTTGTTAATGTCCTATAATTTACCTTAATGACATTTTTGTAACAAAGGAGTTTGTAACTTTATTTATACCTATGAATATATTTCCTGGGACTATGTCTCGTTGCTGAGCAGCTTTTAATCCATCTCTGGCTGAGGAGAAAGTATAATTTAGTGCTGCTGCTGAGAGCTAGTTCTTGCATTCATATGTAACTGCACAATGCTATGGCTGCTTCTTTCTGGTACTTTGTAGCTAGGAGGCATTACATTTATTAAATGTCCCTGCATAATCGTAATTCACCAGTTGTGATTTTATACATAAAGGCCAGAGCTGTCTTGAGGCAATCATGATTTCTCTTATGAATTACTTAATGAAGAAAACCTGAAGTAATCATGCAACTGCTGAGGATATTCATTTGTTTCATTACACATAGGTAAATAATTTGTCATTAAACTGGCATTTGACCAATATATTTTTCTTATGTGTTTCTAAAGATTTGCAGCTAATATAAAACACTGGTGATAATGTGCTGATCTAAAAACATATTTATATATCCAAATGCCCTCCTGTATTTGTGATTTAAATGGAGAAATATTGCTATTGCCACAGAAAAGCAAAATTTCGTCCAAGTTTATACTTAAATTTGTCACAAACATAGAGGGTGCATGATGTTTTTTTGTTTGCCCATAGAATTAGTAAAAAGTGATAACTAAATGAATTTGTGTGATATAAAAGTAGTGTATCATGTTCCACCACTTGACGTTATTCCTTCCCTTTTCTGCAAAGGTACTATTGGCTGGAAGAAAAACATTTTGGTTAACTTCATATGACAGTAGTCTTTCCCTATACGGTTTTTCTATAAAAACTGATTTTGTAGTCATGGGTGGTTAAGGGCAGGTCGAATCAAAGTGAATGAAACTTAAATTGAGCACATCTGCCTGCTGTTGCTGTTCCTTCAACTGAGTGCTGCATATCATGGGCTCTGTCTGTGAGAGAAAAATCCCGGTGCTTGGTGTCCCTGCATGACATGGAGTTTTGCATGTAGATCGATTTAAAATGTACCTCTTGTTTACATAATTTGCATAATTTTAAAAGATAATGTTGCCAAACTTTGGAAATGTTAATGTTCAAACTGAAAATCTCCACTACATGTAACTTCTTCCTCTGGATCAGTACGTGGCTTACAATCCCAGCCAGTGGTTTGATCTGTTCCAGTGTCAACTGCCATGTGCTCTGCTTCAAGGGGGAACTAGTCTTTTGTGAATTTTTTGTACATAATTGTTACAAATATTTTAGCAAATGCTTTCTATTTCTCTTGCTTGTGCATATCTTGGCTGGCGTTACAGAAAAATAGTGCAAACATTATTTCCTTACTGGGGAATGAGGGTTTTTCTTGAAATCTTCCCTTTTTTTTCTTTCTTTTTTTTTTTGTCTTCTCTTTTTCCCCTTTTTTAGTTGGTGTGTAGGGGTGGGTAGGGAGGGGATGGTTTATGTTGAATGTTTAGTTTTTCTTCTGCATGATGCGTCATGTTGTGGGATCTTTAGAAAACTTCATACTGTATGAATAAGAAAATAAAATATTTGAAACTTGCTTGAATGTATTCCATGGTGTTTGATGGAATGCTGTAGCTGTAAGATAGTTGCTCTTCATTCTTACATGATTTAAACACTTAAAAGCTAAATCTGGAGTCAGTAAGTACCATTAAGACCTGTCCGTCCCTTACCCCATTGAGCTCATCTTTTATTCCCGTTTCTTTGAGTCTTTGCAGCCTCCAGGTGGCACCTGCAGGTTTTGGCTTGTTCTCGCCTTAGAACTTTGGGTTATACCATATTCAGTAGCTAGGCTTTCACAGCTTTGATCAGGTATGTCTGGCTCAAAAACAACTCTCCTGGCTACCCTTTTAAAAATACACAGCTGGGTCTTCTTTGTGCTTGTCAGTTTTGTTTTCATTTTTTTTCCATAGCATCTGTTTCTGACATAATATACTTTCACTGATAGCTCGTTTTTCAGAAAATTACCTGGCTTTTAGTATTTGCTTGACATTAAATGAATTAAAAATGACCCATATTACTGATTTTTTACAATAATTTTTTTCAGTATGTTATCACTATACATGAAAAGTGAAAATGGGTATACTTAAGTTTTTAATTTAGTAAAGATTCTACTTCATGTTCAGCACTAGTAATCACTTAAGATACTCATGGATGGGTAAGTGATACCCCTGGCCTAGGTGAGTTGTGATATCGTGGGTATGTTTACTACCTAGAACACTGTATAGTCAGGAGTCCCCTAGTTATACTAGGCACTCAATTCTGTTGTTTCTTAGGGTAGGTATCATAGGAGTAGGATAAGCCTAAGTGAACATACACATTTAAGCCTTAGATTGAGGAGTTCAATAAGCCTAAATATGCAAATAACAGTACATGCATTTAAGCCTTAGATCTATTTCTTTTTTTTTTTTTTTTTTTGTAATGTATTTAGTACAGGGTCTCTCTACACAGCTCAGACTCGGAGTGATCCTCCTGATTTCAGCCTCCCAAGCACTGGGATTACAGCAGTGCACCACCATGCTCAGTCTCCTTCACTGACTCAGCACTCCCTAGGAGTGGGGCCAGCACAGCATGTTGGAGATCAAACAGTTCTATTTCTTGCAACATTTTTTTTAAGAGTATGCAAAGGGCCGGTGAGATGGCTCTGTGGAATAAGCGCTTCCCTAGCAAGCACAAGGACCTGAGTTCAGTCAGTATACGAACAAGTGCTGGTATAGTGGCAGTGGTATAAACTTGTAATCTCAGCACTCTGAAGCAGGATTACAAACTTGAGCTCAGTTTTGGTAATCTACCAAGACCTTGTCTCAGAAATATAAAGCCAGGCAGGATGGACCATGTCTGTAATCCAGCATGTGAGTGGGGAGGTGCTGAGGCATGATTGTCACAAGTTCAAGGCTGGCTGGATTCCATAGTTTGAGGCCAACCAGAACTGTATAGGAAGACCCTGTCTCAAAAAATTCAATGAAGAGCTGAGGATGTAGCTCAGTACAAAGGCCTGCATTTAATCCCTGGTATGGAGGAAGGAAAGAAAAAAGCACTATGCAGAGTAAAATGGCGACTCATGAGTGGGAGAAAATACTTGGAAACCGTAACTACCTAAGGGATTGATACTCGGAATAATACAACTCAACAGCAACAAAAACCTGACTAAAATACGGACAAAAGACTTGAATACTAAATAGCTCAGCAGATTAAAGCGCCTGCAAGCAGGTGCAGGGGACGGAACGGGGGTTCGATCCCTGGGCCTGCTGCTGTGCTGGCTCTACCCCCTGGGGCATGCTGAGATGGCAGTTGAGACTGGGTGTGGTGGCACCCGCCTGCATTCCCAGCTCTTGGGAGGCTGTAAACAGGTGGATCACTACAAGTCCAATCTAGTAGTGAGACCCTGAACACCCTGTAGACCCTTGCCTAAAATACAAAAAAAAAAAAAAAAAAAAGTTTCAGTGCCTTAGGGGGCCTTCCCATTAGCTCAGTTGTTTAAGTGCCTGCTTAAGCAAAGCAGTCAGGCTCAGGATTCTGTGGTTTGATCCCCAGATCCTCCTGTCTTACCAGACCTGCCCTTAAGGCATCCTGAGCCGGCCCCCCCCAAAAAAAAGGAAAAAAAAAAATCCTTCTGAAGACTTGAATACTGCAAAGAAGATAAATGACCAGTCAACAAAACTTTAAGGCAAATGCACATCAAAGCCATGAGAGGCCATTTTGCACTCATTAGGTACCAGGGTTATCACCAAAAATTTTTAAGTTTTAAAAATAACGGATAATGGAAATAAAAAAATTAAGATATAATAGTTAAAACCAAAAATAAACTAAAAATATCGGATATTGGCCTGCAAATACAGACACAAAGTCTTCAGTGTTGCTAGCAATAATCGCTGGCGAAAGCAAAAATTGTGCATAACTGAAGTGTAGTATGGGATTTCATTTTTTTTACTAAGCTTTTGCACATCAAAAAGAATTACAGACTGAAAAGACAAAGTGGGAAAAAATTCTAGTCAACAGTCTCTAAAGGACTTTTATCTGAAACAGAGAAATTAAATGCATCAGATGCCCCAGATTTAAATACCCAATCCAAAAATGGGTATCTAAAATAAATATGCACTTCTCAGATGTAGGAATATAGACAGCAAATAATTATATGAAAAAATGTTCCGCATCACTGGTCACTTGAGAGATGCAGGCTAAAACACTTGAGATTCCATCTCCAGAAAGAATAGCTGTCTTCAAGAAATCAGTAACAAATGCTGGAGGGGCTATGGGGAAGAAGGAACCCTTCTCCACTGTTGGTGGGAGTACAGACTGCTGGAAGATCTGTGGAAATCAATGTGGAGATTCCTCAAAAAACTGGGATTAGGGGCCTGGGGAAGATAGCTCGGCAGTCTAAGCACCAGCCTGGCAAGTGCAAGGTCCTGAGTTTGATCCCCTGGTACTGTATTCAGTGCTGGCCCTGCAGGCACGCTGTGCCAGCCACTGAAACTGGGCATGGTGGCACAGACCTTTAATACCAGCGCTGGGGAGGCTGAGACAGGAGGATCACTACAGGTCTGAGCTGTGTAGTGAGATCCTGTAATGAATAAATAAATATAAAACTGTGATTAGGAATAAAAGAAAAACCAACTATAATTAGAGGTCCCTTTGACCTAGATGTTCCCCTTCTAGGTATTTTCCAGGAAGACTTAAAATCATACCACAGCATGGTATGTGTACCCATGTTTATAGCAGTACAATTTGTCATAGTGAAATCTTGCAAACAATTTAAATGCCCATCAACAGAGAAATGGATAAAAAAGATGTATTTTTGTACAATGGAGTACTATTCAGTATAGGAGGATAAACTTGACTTTTATAGGTAAATGGATGAAACCATACTCATGGATGAAATAAGTCTTGCATGTGTATACATACCTCTTTAGTGTAAGAAGTTGAAAGAGTAGGATCCAAAATGTGTAACATACTAAAAATGGGAAGAAACTGTTCAAAAGAGAACTGGGATGGGGGAAAGGAGAAAAGGAAAAATGAAAAGTCAGTGTATGTATTGATGATAGTTATCATTTGATCAATTTTTGTGTTTGTGTCTGAGCAACTACTCTGATCATTGTTAATCTTATCTTGTTTTAAAAATCTGTATCATTGTTGTTTTTCCTCTATAAAAATAAAATGCATTTTAAAATTGAATTGGAAAATAGACAAAAATTGAAACGATCAGAATTATACAACAGGAAATGGAAAACGAAATCCCTTGCCCAAAACACTGCTTAACCACTGTATTACTGCAGATTACTATGTGGGTCTCTGTTCAGATTTCACATTATACAAATACAGAACAAGTGGATGTGTGTAAGGTAAAGCACGTGTAATGGTGGAAAAGAGACCTACTGTTCTGTTCCATTCAGTTTCATAGCTAAGTCAAGTAATTTTTAAAAATCAGTATGGCATTAAGTCATCAGTATAACCCCACATCAGTGCACTTATGGGCGGACTCACTTGTATACCTATGTTCATGGCACAATATTCACAGTATTCAGAGTTCAGATGAGTTGATCAAAAGTACATATAATATTTAGCCACATGAACAAAATTCTGACATGCTGTAACATGAGCCCTGAAGTTACACTAATTGGCATGAATATTGTATATGATTTCACTTATGTGAGATTGCCTAAGTAACAAAACTGACTGTAGTATGGTAGTTAGCAAGTATTGAGGGAATGGAAAATTACATGTTAAAATTACAGGTAGAAACCAGGTACGGTGGTAGATGCCCGTAATTCCTGCACTTTTTTTAAAAAATAAAATAGCCTGACGAGCAGGAGGCTGACGAGCATTGTAAATTCTAGTCCTGCCCGAGCAACTTAGAGAGACCCTGTCTCAATTGAACAAAGCTGGGATGGTGAGGGGTCAGGGAGACAGCTGTGTGAAGACACTGGGTTCAGTCCGCAGTGCTGCCAAAACAAAAATGGGTGAAGTTTCTGTTATGGAACAAAATTCTGGAGATGGATGCGAGTGATGTTTGCAAAAATGAATTTAAATGTCACTGGTTATGTACAATTAAACAAGTGAGATGTTATCTGCAGTCTACACTCTGGTAGACTGAGGTAAGAAGATTACAAGTTTGATGTGGGCCTGGGATACACAAGAAGACCCTATCTAAAAAAGACATGAGGTTTATTTTGAAAGGTTAAGAATAAACAAGGTAATAAAGAATTTCAACTTTTATGTATAGTTTCTAGAACTTACAAAGAAAATGGTATTCATGTCTTGATGTTTTAATCATGTTCAAAAACTCATACTCAAAATTCATTGCACTTGCTAAAATTTTCTGAGAACCCAGTCTGGCTTCCAATTTGCAGTGACATTCCTGCCTGCCTCATGCTCCTGAGTGCTGGGATCACAGGTGTGTCCCATAACTAGAAGCTGAACATTTCACTTCATTACTAGTTTAGTTTTTTCACTTCTGTGAACATTAAATCTAGCACTCAAATGAGTGTGAGTCAGGCCTCCTAACCTGGTTCCTTTGACCAAATAAGTAATTTGTGTGTGCATAATACAAGTACTTTCCTACCCAGGTCCAGGGAGCATGACAGTGGGAAGCCAAGTCTTTCTGGAATGACTCCACTAGCCACTGAATACCTAAGCAAATACTTGTCTTAAATTCATTCCCTCAGGAAATTTATCAGTAACTCTGTAAGTGAAGTGTAATCTTGTCAGAGTTGTGAGACTATCCAAAGATCCTGAATCCTTACAGATAGTTGGGAGTCACAATAATATGAATAATCAGAATTGCTATAGAAACAAGGATAATCACACAGATACGGATTGAGGTATCAATGTCTGGGCCTTAGTATTTTAACTTGATCTGGTACTACAAGAACAGCTACTAGTGTTAATCCAATTTATTACCTCTTCTTTGTTTTTATGTATTTAGTACAAGGTCTACAGGGGCTCACTACACAGACTGGATTTATAGTGATCCTTCCTGTTTTTCAGCCTCCGGAGCGCTGGGATTATAGGCATGTGCCACCACACCCAGTCTCATTCTGTCTCAGCGCTCCCGAGGCAGGGCCGGCACAGCATGCTGGGGATTGAACCCCAGTCCCTGCGTCTGCCTAAGCAGATGCTTTAATCCGCTGAGCTATCTGGCTGGCCCTATGACCTCTTCTTCGTTCATTTAGTACGATTCTGAGGATTAATTGAGGCCCTCTAACGTTTTGGTCTCCTTTTCAAACTTGTGGCAGATTAGAAATATTTGCTTTTCATGACCATGTTGACTTTCAGGAAAAGCCGAAAGTCCCACACTGCTAAGTCTGGTAAATAAGGTGAGTGGATATACTGTAATGCTTGCCATAAATGTTTTGAATCAATTCAAATGAGACAGCCACAACTACAGACTCACAAAAGACTTCCAGACTTACTCGAGCAAGTGGCAAGAATGTATTCCAAGTGAGAAGGATAGGGCTTGGGTGATAGCTCAGTGTCATAAGCACCTGCCCAACATGCACAAGGTCCTGAGTTTGACCCCCAGTACAAAAAAAAAAAGTAAGAGTACATGAGTTAATGGCAATCTTACTGTAATGCATTTTAAAAAATTACCCATTTTCCTATTTTATAAATGATGCAGAACAAACAGAAGCGTAAGGCTTTTAATTCTTACATGAACTTTCTGATAGTCCCATCGAAGTTTTTTTTTAACCTTATTTGGTACAGGGTCTCATTACTATGCAGCTTAGATGAACGTAGCTCAGATGGATTCAGCTGAGATGGACTCGTAGTGATTCTCCTGTTTCGGCCTCCCCAGTGCTGGGACTGCAAGCGTGCATCTCCATGCCTGGTTTTGCGGCTGGCACAAGATGACGTACCAGGGACTGAACCTAGGTCCTTGCACTTGCCAGGCAAGTGCTTAGTTAGACCACCAAGCTATCTTCCCAGCCTCCAATCAAAGTTTTGGTCGTTTTAAGATGTGTAACAGAATACACTATCAACATCACCTTTAAGTTGGTTCCTTCCATTTAAAAATGAGTAAAATTTTAAAATTCTATTCAAATAGACTTTGGTAAAGAATCTATCGCTTTTGGAAAATATAGTATCCCTCAAGGAAAAATATCCTTTCACCACTTAACTTTTACTGCTTAGAAGAAATATACTCAATATTGGTAACGTCTGACTTCATTAAGTACTATATTTGAGAAATAAAACCTGTCCTCACATCAATTCTTTAATGCAAGACTTTAATTTTACAAACTATAAAATAGGTATGAAGATCCACACTAACTGTTTATGTAAGTAGAGCCAAAAAATTGATTATGGTTGATTATAAAATACTCATACAATGTATTAAAGAAGGGTCATGATTCACAAGTTTTGAGATGATCCTTTTAATTACAATTTACAGAGAAGAAATGTTTACACACTTATAAATAAACCCAAAACTTACATAGAATTGTTTATGTAATACATTTCCTCTAAACGAGGATTCTAATTGCAAATCCACTACGTGACTCAAAAGAAAAATATACATTATATTTTAATATATGAATTGTCAATAACTAAAAGTTATTGAGTAATGTTAAATCTTTCTCTTCTGTTTATGAGACATTCTTCACATTGTTTTGTGTGACCACCTGCAGAGGATCAGGTCTTTCTCTTTAGAGTCCAATGATAAAAGTCTAATTTGAAATCAGAACCGATCTGCTGATCTGCTAGCCACAGCTCTAATATTGCCATAAACCTTTGATGGAGGATTTCCTATAAAGGAAAAAAAAAAATTAGCTATACATACATACATATACAAATATATATTTACATATATAAAAACTACACTGAACAGGGTCTCTACACTTACTGAACAAGGACAGAGCTGGGTGTGGTGGTACATGACTGTAATCCCAGCACTCTGGGAAGCTGAGGGAGGACTGCTAGCTCCAGCTCAGTGTGGGCAACTCAGCAACTTAGTGAGACTATATCAGAATAAAAAATGAGCTGAGGGGTACAGCTCAGTAACACAGTACTTGTATAACATGCCTCAGACTCTGGGTTCAATCCCCAAGACCACAAAAAAGAACAAGGTAAGATTTTTATTTTTATTTATTTATTTATTCATTTATTTTTTGTGCAACCGGGGATTGAACTCAGGTCCTTGTGCTTGCCAGACAAGCACTTATCCTACTGAGCTATCTCCTTGGCCCAGAGATTTTTATTATTATTTTTTTGGTGGAACCGGGGATTGAACTCAGGCCCTTGCGCTTGCCAGGGAAGCGCTTATTGTACTGAACCATCTCCCCAGCCCAAGATTTTTATTGTTATTTATTGTTTTTTGCGGAACCAGGGATTGAACTCAGGCCCCTGTGCTTGCCAGGGAAGTGCTTATTCTACTGAGCCATCTCCCTGGCCCCTATTAATTTTTAATTTATATTACATTTTTAAAAATATTACTGGGGGCTGAACTCAGGAATACTTTATCACTGAGCTACAATCCTAGCCTCATTCATTCATTCACTCATTCATTCATCGACAGGGTCTTGTGTTGCTCTGGCTGATCTTGAATTTCAGACCTTCTGGTCTCAACCTGCCAAGCTGCTGGATTGAAAGGTTTATGCCACAATACCTAGCTTATCAGAGCTATATATATTAAATTACCAAAAGAACCTTACAAAAATTAGTCATATTTTCTAAGAGCCAAAAGTACTATCATATTTAAAAAGAAGCCAGTCCGCCAGCCCTGGGCACCATAAGAGAATCACAAAGTTTTCTTTTTTTTTTTTTTCTGTTGTATTTTAAGGAAGGGTCTACAATGTGTTCAGGGTCTCACTACTAGATCAGACTCAGGGATCTGACTGTTTACAGCCTCCCAAGAGCCAGGATTACAGGTGTACCACCATGCCCAGTCTTTTTTTTTTTTTTTGCTACCAGGGATTGTACTCAGGACCTCCTCCTTGCTGGGGAGGGCTGAAGTCCTGAGCTGTCCCCTGGCCCAGTGCCAAGGTCTTCCAGTGATCACTCAGGCTGGGTGGGTCAGTTAAACTGCCTGAGGCTGTCCAGCAGTTTCCTTTCAGTTAAACCTAAACTTGATGTTCCTGCTATTTCTATGTTCTTCCTCATGGGCAAGAATTTCAGCAGTATTTCTAAAGAACCTATTTCACCTAACAAATAGAATCTATGCAAAATAGCCCTATTTTTCTCTAGACCCTAACCCACCAACTCCTGAGGCCTTTGACATTATTACATCTCTAATATTACCCTCAAGTTGCTTTGTAAATGTTGTCTGAATTTCTTAATTCCCTCTCCAGACAAAACACCAAAGAAAGAAATTGCTGGTACCTAGGATGAGGTTGCAAATGGCAGTCCTTGCCATCTTGATGTTCTGGAAAGAGCCAAGGATGTGAACTTTCCTGAAAGAGACAAAGTGAAGCAATTTCCTAAGTTAGCTATAAAAACCATCTCTTTACCTAAATCCTGTAATCCAAAAACCATGGAAAATCATGACAGGGTGATACTGTACAACCCTGTACATACCCTAAAATCACTTTTGAAAGGGTGAATTTGGTAGTATACAGAAGGCATTTTTTTTGAGATGGGATTCTGCTATGCAGTTCAGACTGGCCTTGGACTCACTCTGTAGCCCAAACTGGTCTCAATCCTCCGGCCTCAAGCCCCCTTGAGTGTTGGGATTACAGGCATGCACCTCTATGCCTGGTGCACATTGTATTCTAATAAATTATCAGAAAAGACAAAAAAGATTATTTGTTGATAGGAGCTACCATCCAGTAAGTGCTTTTACGTTAGGATTTTACACATATATTTTCACTTTATCTTCACATAAACTTTGTAAGATAGATGTTACTTCCATAGTACAGATAAAGGTTTTACTTCTATACATAGTCAAGAAATGTAGGGCTGGGGAGACAGCTCAGTGGCAAAAGCGCCTGCCTGGAAGTGCAAGGTCATGAGTTCAATCCCCAGGATCACAAAAAAAAAAAAAAAAAAAAAAAAAAAAAAGAAAAAAGAAACGTCAGGCTGGGGGTGCAGCTCTGTAGCATATGGAAGCACGTCAACTGCAGTGCCATAGGTGAAAACAAAACAAATCAAGAAACCTGTCCAAGACCATACACTGCCCAGAAACATAACTACCACATTTCAGTTTCAACTGCAAAGCTTTTTAAAGGTCATCTTAATATACTGAGAATCATCAGACTCACAGTGGGCATTCCTTTTTGAATGACTCAGGTATGATTGATAGTGGAGGTCAGTTTTTACACCTCCAGATGGGTGAAACAAATTTTCATGTGCTCCTTCCCCAAATGTCACTAAATCGATAGCTCTAAGATACAAAACCAAAAGAAAGAAGATGATGACAATAATAAACTCTGCAAAGGTGGAAAGCAGATGAATGAGGCAGAAGTGACTTTTTGGACCCTAGTAAACTGACCTACCTCAGCTAGGAGGCAGAGGAGAAAAGAGAAGCCAGCATGATGGCCCCAGGGCAAGGGGCCTTCGGAGCATAAGGCTCGGGGAGAGATTTCTAGAACGTTGATGCATAAATACACTAGGAGGAGGCTGAGAGGCTGTACAGCTCTTCTGTGAATTTTGATACTGAAAATTAAGAAAACACACTAGCAAATAAGAAATACTTCGTCAAATGAAAGCGAAGTTGCAAAGGAGAAATCCCATGTGGTCATCTATGAATATACTGAGCATTGAAGATCTGCTTTGAGGCAATTCTGAACAGTGACTGAATGTACACAAGGCGCCACAGGGGAGGAATAAGCTCAAGTGCTACAAAAGCAGATTCTGTGCAGCGTGGCCAGAGAGTGGGCAAGAAAGCACAACGTCTTTCAAGGTGGAAAGTCAGTAATCATCTAGAAAATAAACCAAGAAGCTCTGTATCAAGGTATGCTGACGTACAGAGGTACTCTTTTCCCTGACAAGTCTCCTGTGCTGCACAGGCCAGCTCTGAGCTCACGATTCTCCCGCCTTAGCCTCCGGAGCAGATGTGATGACTGCAGCTCCAAGCCACTGCACCCGGGTGAAGACAGGAGATTTAAGCTGTTAAAAAGAGAGCTGCACCTAGCTTTTCTGAGGAGGGTTAAATGGAGGCAGGTAGTGGATATTTCTGGCTTTTCAAACCACATGGTTGCCTCACTTCACTAAGTAGGATTACTTAAAATGCATTATGAAAATCAAAGAGGCAAAAACAGAACAAAGTATAAGTAGTTTTGCTACCAAAACAAAACAAATGGCCAGTAATTAGAAAGAGGTACAGTTCTGACAGCACACAGGCTACATTATTTCTCATGTGGTAGTGATTATCTAGAACAAAGTGACTTTACCTTTAAATCCTGCTCACATTTTACTGTTGTTATTAGCCACTCATCAGAACTACCATTACGGGTGCATAATGTTGTCTTATGGATATTTTATAACTACTATACATCGTTAAATGAATTTCCAGTTAGCATATTTATAGCAAAAACTACAAGACAGTATGTCTTTTTAATTTCAAGTAGTTTATAATTCAGTTTTCAAGAAAGATAAAAAGCTATTAAAATTCCACAGCAAAATTATTCATAAACAATCTCCAAATAAAATAACCCAAAAGTCTATCAACTGTGAATACAATGTAATGGAATAACACCTGACAATAACAACACTTGAAGTGCAACAGAAAAGAAAAACTTAAAATAACATGCTAATTAAAAGAAACTATACCCAAAGCCTACATACTAGGTTAATTCTGTTTAAGTGAATCTCTTGAAAAAGCAAAAGCATAGTGACAAAAAGCAGAGCAGTGACTGCCTGAGAGCAGAGTGGGGAGGAGACTCAAGGCAAAGACGCACTAGGAACGCTCCAGATGCTGGGACAGTGCAAGGGTGGAGTGTGGGGATACAGGGCAGTGGTGCACTTGCCAACTCACTGAACTAGAGTCACTAGGCCACAAGGAAGCTATTAAAGAAGTTTAAGAAAAACTTTTAGGCCTACAGTCAGTATTTAAAATACGACATACATATCCGCATTTTGAAATTTCTATTGAAAAAGGTTCCATAGCTTGTATTTCAGACTTCAGGCTCAATCTATACAAGATCAAAACTATGAGCAAAAGTAAGATGCTCCTGAGTGAATTATTTCTGCATTTAGTTGCAAGCAGGCCCTTCCCGTCAGTCACCTGCTTCATCTGCTAACTTCACGGTATTAAACTCTGAGCCACGCATTAGTTCCTCAGCCTGGCAGCAGAGCCTCCTCAACCCCAGAAGGGGGTAATCCCAGCTTTACCTCGGCCGCCCTTACTCTCATGTACTGTCATCTTAATTATGTTCACAAAAAACTGCTTGATAATTTAACCAACATGCAATACTCCTTATTTTTAAGAAAGGCCTTGAGAAAATAAGTACTTAACATAGCTCTAGTACAATACAGATCCACGGACCTATACAAAACATATGTAGTACTCTAAAATAGGAAAGTCTCACAAGTTAGTTGAAGCACCTATTACTTGTCTTCCCTTACTGATTTAATAGGTTCCTCTACTGAAATCTTCATCTATAATATCTTTTTTTAACAGTGATTCTAAACATTTCCTTTTTCACTAAATAAAAGCGATAATTACTGAAATTTTCCTAACCAACTTAGTCTCCTTTAAAGTAGGTGACTACTCAAGCACGTACCAGTGAAGAGTCAGTGCTAACACTATGTATAATACACAAATGATAGGACTTTTTCCAGTAGATGATCAAGTATAAATCATGTGAATAATTTTCACAAGGTCAAAAACTTACACATCAGCTAAAACTATTCGTGTCCGTGTCACGTTCTCTATGGTAAATTTGGTTTTTCCTCCTTTGCCAGCAATTCTTCCTATTGCCCTTGACAGGTGGTCTCCCTTTAGAGGCTTAACTAAAGAAGAAAAGCAAGATATCATGTGAGGGGCTGGTGAGATGGCTCAGTGGTCTAAAGCACCTACTTAGAACAAGCTTAGCAAAGCACAGGGACCACAGTTCAATCCCCCAGCACCACATGCCAGCCAGCCCCGCCCCCTGGTGGGCTGAGCTGGTCACACACACGCACACACACACAAATAAATAAAATTTAAAAAAAAAAAGATGTCATGTGACAAGATGTATACTGTCTCTCCACATAGTTTATTAACTAAATGAGCATTTTTTTTTAAAAAAAGGCTAATAACATAGCTCAACTGATGCTATTAAAAGCTTACAATCAAAACATAATGCAAAATTGGCAAGAGAAAAGAACAATTTTTCACAGAAAACCACCACAAACTTACCATCTGTAATTTCAAAAGACTCCAGAAAGAGGTCATCTAACCTGATGAGGGCGAGTGCATCCTAGAATATAAACATAAACACCATGAAGGTCCTTGCACCACAAATGAGAATGAGTGACTAAAACAAACTCTGGTACAAGAACATTCACATTTAAAAAATGATTTATCCACAAAATTGCCCACACTAATTGTTTAAGCTGGCAGTAGTGGCCCAAGCCTATAATCCTGTACTTCTGCAGCCCAAGGCAGGAGGACTGCAAGTTCAAGCATAGCCTTTTCAACTTAGTGAGACCCTGTCTCAAAATTTAAAGAAGGGCTGGGGATGTGGCTCAGCGTGAACTGAGGTGCAATCCCTAGTAACCACCCCTTACATTGTATTTTGAAGTCTCCATTACAGACATCATGAAATCACTCACTTCCACTTGAAATCCAAGAATAAAGGCCTTTACAAAATCAGCTGCTTTTGTCAGAGCACTAGCATCCTTGGTTTCTTTACAAGTCTGCAAACAAAATAACGAACAGGTACAAACTTAGAGAGGTGTAAAAAGGAAAATACTCTAATTAAAAACAAAGTAACCTTTATTTTTTTACCCTCTAAAAATAACCTTTCCCATTATTTTAATTTCTTTCACCAACACCCTTTTGCTATATAGTCTGGATAATTCAATTTTGGTGGGACACACATTGTTCTTAATTTGCAAAACAAACCCTTCCAAGCTTGGGCGGGCAATTCCACCCAAAGACTGTCAAGTGACTGAACACACCATGTGACCCATCAGCCTTTGGGTTCACAGCAACACTCCTGCAGCACAGCCCGATGACCCACATGCTGCAGGACCTATATCCTGTCCACCCCTTCAGGTGCAACAGCCAGTCCTCTTCTCTTCTCCCTCAAAGCAATCTTTCTTGGGAGTTATGGCCAGATCTTCTGAGTTCAATCATTTATCTGCTGATGTTTCCCAAATTAACAAATCGGGTTCTAACCACTTGTACGGCCAGTGCTGAAGGAGAAACCACGTACAAATTCTGCCCTCAACTTCTTCAATGACTACAGAAATACTCATAAAATGCCTACCACTGTAAATACAACACATGCTTTACATGTCTTAGCTGTCATCTTCAAGATAACTTGAATGCTAAGTGCTATAAATTTATATTAAGTAATGAAAAGTGAAAAAAGGGTAAGATTGAAACACAAATTCTATTGTACTTCTACTCTTACTCATATTCACAATGTAGATGAGACAAACTTAAAGCCATACAAAATTATACAAAGGAAAAGCACCTGGAACTTTCACATTTCAAATCAAATCTCAGCTCCAATTCTATTATGTAACAGTAACAAGTCTCAGGGATATGTCGAACCTTAAATTTTTTCATCTGTAAAATAAAGAGGTTAAAGTAGAAGATCCTAAGAGGCTGCTTCATGTATCATCAGCCTGATCTTTGGCCAAGACACCCAACTTCTTTGACCTATCCTCCCCCTCACCTCTGTAATGGGGAGGATGCAGTCTCTACATCATAAGAGTTCTCCTAAAGACCAGATGATGTCGTTCATGGCAGAGGAACCACTACAAGTCTGTATATGGAAGCTTCAATAGTAGTGGAACACAAATTGATGAGTCTGCAACAAACAGACAAACAAGCACAACGGAAATGCAGACATAGAAGAAATGATGGAAAGAGGACTTATAGTGGAAAAGAACTTCAGCTAGATACTGAAAAGCAATGGAATAAAGTAGGAAAAGGAGTGGAGAGGTCCTTTGTTAAAGCAAAGCCACAAGACCGTATGAACATAAAAAAGTGGTGAGAGATGAACTTGTGACTGAGTCCCCCACGTGAAAGGCACACGTGGTCCATCTTTAGAAGAGGTGGAGATGCTGGAATATCATTACAGAAGCATTATCCTCTGCAAAAATTAATTTTGCACTGTCACAGAAGAGGGAAGAGAGAGAAAACAATGCAAGGGAAACCTTGTAAGGAAAGTCTTGAAATGAAACCCTAAAAGCCTGAACTGGTGCAGCATTGGGAGCAAAGATAGGTTTTATTAGTCCCATCCTGTAACGTCTTAAACTTCACCAACTAGTTACAGTAGTGCCTCTTGGTACCATGGTCATAGTTCACACACACAAAAGCTTATACATGCGCTAGTAATACTACCACAATCTTCAGGATGGAAAATGTACTTACATTTGTTTTTTACATGCTTTATGTGCAGGCTTTGCCAATACACTGGTATGACTTCGGAGCCAATTTATGAATTAACATTTGTGGTGAGGGCAGATTCCGAAGGCATTTGCTTAAGTTCAAACTTATTAGGATATAGCTTAAAAGCTGAAGAAAACCATTTAATAGAGTAAGTTCCGTTCAACAAATTCTATCCATGTGTTTTCATTCAAGGAGAAAAATCCCAGTTATGTTTGGAAATAGGTGGCAGTCTCCTTACCCTGATTTCTACATTTCTCGATTTCAAGTTAAAGCGTATCTGGAGTCCCAAATGTTCTACAATAGGAGTAAATATCTTCATCCAGTTCTCTTTTAATGGTGTATATCTGTTAGCTGGAACTGGAACTTTGCGTGTTTCTTCTCTCCCACTCTGCAATTAAAACACAACTCTTGAGAGCTCGCGGGCGGGGGGAGGGGCTGTGGGCGGAGCCGCACGATGACAGCCGACCCACAAAAAGCTGCCCTCGGCTGAACCGCTTAAAACTGCTGGAAAGTCACTTCGCTAAAACCCTCACGGCAGAAGAGACCCTCACAGCTTCGACAACATACAGAGGCCACTCTCTTGACCCGCCCATAGCCCCTGCTCCTGCTCCGGTCCTGCCCCAGGGTCCCCAACAGTACCAGCAGTCCATCCCCAGCGAGCGGCGGGAAGATCGGCCTCTTTGCCGGCTGGGCCTCCTCCGTATCCATGCGGCCCGCGTCCCCGCCCTCCCCCGCTTCAGACAATTGCTCAGACTTCCGTTTCTTCGCCCGCCGGGCACCCTTTCGGGTGACCTGGGTGAACCCTTCCTCGGCTCCCGCATTCTGTATCTCCATATCAGCCATCTCTGGACCCGGAAAGCGCTTCCAACTAGAACACGTGCGGCACTACATTGCGCAGGCGCACCGCCCGGGCGCCAGCCTCAGCCAATCAATCCCAGACCTCCGCCCCTCCTGGGTCCCACGCTAAGGGTCCTGAAGCAGGATTGGTGAGCGTGTCTACTCGGGCTACTTTAATATATGCCTGATTTCTAGGGTCACCCTTCGATCACGCAACTCACATCCAAGACATTCTGTAATCAGCAGTATGTAGTGGGCAAAAATCGGTGGCTAAAAGCGCTAATAAAATTTGGCCTCCGGTGGAGAAAAAGCTTGTGCGACTTCGGGAGTATATCTGGCATTATTGAAGCTAACTAAATCGAATTTGCTGGGGTGCCCGTGGGGCCGAGTACGGCAAGCGGGAAGGACCAACTGCCGTTAAGTTTGGTGTCTGGTTTCTAGGTTCGGGTTGGTTTCTCGGGATCTCGGTGTGTGGCGTTTGGTGGAAGTGAAATCGGCCAGACCATGTCGGCTTTCGAGAAGCCTCAGATCATTGCCCATATCCAGAAGGGCCTCAACTACACGGTGTTTGACTGTAAATGGGTGCCCTGCAGCGCCAAGTTTGTGACCATGGGCAACTTCGCTCGGGGAACCGGCGTAATTCAGCTGTACGAGATCCAGCACGGGGAGCTGAAGCTGCTTCGGGAGGTGGGTGTCGGCTCGCGACTACCCACTTCCGGGCTCTGAAGTGCCTGTGGGGACGAATTGCCCTGCAGCCCCCGCGCGCTTCCCCACAGCGTGCCCCGAAAGCATAGAGACCAGGGAAGTTGGTTGCAAATTTGAGAAGTGCTCTGACTCTAAAACTTTGCTTTCAAGTCCTGCGGTCTCGTCGCGGGCAGGTACCTCCGCGCCCTGTCAGCCCCCTTCTGCCACCTCCATTGCGGTGCAGCACAAACTTTTGGAAAGGGACGCTAAGATTTTGTGTCTAAATTCGAGAACCACTTAGTTTGCAATCATTTGTAGAAATTTTAGTGCGCCCACCTAATGCGTGTTTTGGAAGCAGAGATAACGCAGGCGCCAGGATACTTGTGATATCAGTATCACAAGTCAACACCTTTCGATCATATCAGTGTCGGTCGGTGAAGCGCTTGGCATTCCCAGGCACGTGAGTGGCAGTCTTGTCGGATCTCACGGAGTTAGTTTTCTAATGGGAAGCACATTTAGTTTAATAATCAAGTCAAGGATGAATAATTACAAGTCGAGGTGGGTTCCCTCACACAACATAGTTCAATGAGTGAAAATCTACATGGGATGAGTACAAACTGGACCAGAGTGAGAGTAGAAGACGAAACTTCCAGAGGGAACAACATCTGCCGAAGTTCAGTAATGGGAGAAAGTTTGTTTGCTCAAGAAACAAGACGAGTTAGCAGGAACCAGACATTGCAAAATCTGTAGAACGTATAAAAGACTTGTGCCTTTTTACAGGGAAAAATAGCAGATCATTGAAAGGTGCAATAAGAACAGATTCACAAGTTTTATAAAGATCACTAGTGAAAGATTTAGAGGATTGGGCCAGGGAGATAGCTCAGTGGTCTAAGCGCCTGCCTGGCAAGTGGAAGGACCCGAGTTCAATTCCGCTTACCACATACCACCCTGCACTGAGCTGGCCACTGAAACCAGGCGTGGTGGTGCATGTCTGTAATCCCAGTGCTGGAGAGACTGAGACAGGAAGATCACTATGAGTCTGAGCTACATATGGAGACCCTATACCAAATAAATAAAATATTAAAAAAGTCAAGAAAAAGATTTAAAGGATAAAGATAATAATTAGGGTTAAAAAGTATTATCTCCTAAGTTGCCAACGCTGGCCTGGAGCTCTGTGATTCTCCCATTCTGAGCCTCTTTTTTTTTAATTTTTTTTTTTTTTTTTTTTTAACATTTATTTATTGTGTGTGTGTGGCCAGCTCAGCCCACCGGGGGCGCGGCTGGCTGGTGGAGGATCGAACCGCGGTCCCTGTGCCTTGCCGAGCTTGTTCCAAGTAGGTGCTTTAGACCACTGAGCCATCTCTCCAGCCCCTCTGAGCCTCTTGTATAATGTTGCTATTAGAGCTGCACACAAGCGTGCGAGGCCCACAACTAGCATTTCTGTAGCTGTTTGCAGTCTCTTCAGTGTTTACAGTTTAATTGTTTAAAGGAAATGAACACTCATAAGGAGGTATTAGAGCTGGAATAGACTATAAGGGCAGGGGATATTGAGAACTCCAGGGATTGAAAGCTACGGAGATGGAGGCAAACAGATGCCCACCTATAATCCCAGCATCCCAGGGAGCTGAAGTAAGATTTATAAATTTGAGCCCAGTCTGTGCAGTTTAGTAATTTAATTTAGTAAGACTATTTCAAAATAAAAGATTTTTTAAAAGGCTTGGGTTCGCGAGAGTGCAGAAATAAAGCTCAGGGGCACAGCGCCTGCCTGGCAAGTGTTAGGTCCTGAGTTGGCTTCCGGTACCAAATGAAATAAAAAGTGAAAAGGCTGAGGATGTAGCTTAGTGCAAAGCCCTTGGGTTTGATCCATTTTCCTTGTTTGGTTTGCTGTCCCTCGCTGAATTTCTGAAAATGGCTTGTTCTTGCTACTCCTCTTACATTCATCACTTTGCTTTGTGTTGCTTTTCCAGATTTTTTGATGTATGATTCCTTCCTGATCCTCAAAGTAGTTTTTGTTGCATTCTTGTAGTACTTATGATAGAAATATAAATTCTGTTTTGTGTATGACTAACTATAAGTTCCTAGAGGGTAAGAGAATGCCTTTCTTCAGCATAGTTTGCAAGGAGGAGCCACTCAATAAATTACTCATTAAAAGAAGTGTGGGCTGGCCAGTTAGCTCAACGGACTAAAGCACCTGCTTAGGCCGAGTGCAGGGACCGGGGTTTGATCCCCTGCGTGCCATGCCGGCCCCACCCCCAGGGCCAGGTGAGAAGGTGATTGAGACTAGGTATGGTAGTGCGTGCCTGTAATCCCAGGATTTGGGAGGCTTTAAACAGGAGAATCACTAAAAGTCTGATCTACATAGTGAGACCCTGTAGGCCCTGTCTACATAGTGAGACTAAATACATGTAAAAAAATTAAAAAGGAGTGAATGTATGCATATAAATAGGGTGTAAAATTATTAGAAAATATAGATAGAAAAAAGAAGAAAGCATCACCCGTTATCTCAATCCCAGGAATAATCAATTTATATTTTCCACCCAGAAACTTCTTTTTTTTTGAATCATAAATTCTTGAGAACCTGTTATTTCCAAGCATTGTATTAAAAAAGAACCAAGGGCATTTAGAAGATGAATCCCGTTTCCTAAGAAATCTGCTGTTTAAAAGCAGGGTAAAGCAAATGGAAAAGCACATTTAAGAGCTTTGACTGTATGTGGCTAGAGTGGTGCAATTAAAAAAAAAAATCCAAGTTAAATACAGGCTCAGTGATTCTCCCCCCTCATGGCCTGTCTCAACCATCTTGAGCCCTCTGTTATTTCTATTTGTGTGCATGCTTACAAATATCTTTGCCTTGGTCACGCCCCTGGAGTCTGAGGCAGCGGTGCTCTGATGCATCCAAAATAGGGAAGGCCCAGCCATCAGTATTCTCTTGAACTTCTGCAGGGGATTCTAATGCCTACCCAGACTTCAGAAATATACTTATTCTATTGAGTGAAAAGCATTGGGCCAGATAGATTTTTTTATTAAAATTTAAAGAAACGCACTGATTTAATCATTATAAAAATACCCTAAACCTAGTGCCCAAAGCCTCTGCATCCAAGAGAAGACAGGAAGGGAGCAAATCAGCTTTTGCTGATGCCGCCCTCGTCTCACTGTAGGCCTTGGGCAGGGGTCGGGGGGGGGGTGCACAGTTGAGTTGGCTGCCCTAGGCACAGGTGTCCAGCTTGGTGTCCTCCTTTTGCTCCATCAGGCTTTCTATGTGTGAGACTTCATCTGCTTAGAAAATGCAGCTTTTTTCTAATTGGCACAAAGGTATCCTCCGGACAGGGATGATCCTGAAGAATGAAGTGGTTGTGGATATTTCTACTGTAAAATTAGTAATAAGCCGATAAAATTTTGATTTTTTTAACCTCAATGCTACTGAATTCATTGCTTGTTAGCATTTGGTTGACTAAACCTTTTAATGTTAATTAAGTAGTGCCAGGATGTGGAGGAGGAAGTACTGACAAGCTGTACTAGACCCACCCACAGTCAGAACAAAAATAGCTGTTGAGGGAATTACCAATCATGGGCTTCTTTAACCACATTAACATGTCATTGTAGCAGCAAATGCCCACCACTAGGTCTAGTGAACTGATCTGGGTGGTCACACTATCATATGGCAAAAATTAGTAATGCATACTTTGGTGGTGTAATTCTCACCGAGTCTTCAGTTTTTTTTAAACTGGTTTCTAACAAGAACAGTTTTAAGTTCTGCCAAATTCTGTGCCTCTTTTCTGTAGGTAAAAAGTATAAGGGAGTTAGGGGGGAATTCTTGTGAGTTATACAAAATTAGTTTCTCTTGATTTCACTGCTATTATGATTCCATAAATGTCTGAGGAAGGAGAAAACATGCTTTTACAAGGGTAGTGCTGGGCCCTTCTGGACAAAGTGTAGTCCTCACTGTTTGCGGATGGCAAGGTGTTAATGTGTCTGATAGATTCATATACTTCTAAGTTTAATTCTTTTTTTTTTTTGACTTTGATTCGTGCACAACAGACCATTAGTGTCAATAAATCCAGGTGGGTATTTTGCATACAGAAAAGAAAATGTACATGTGGGAATCATAATACCATATGTTTATCTAGTAAGGAAATGAATGAAGTTTAAAACACAAGGACAAACCTGGGAGTACTAGTGGGCCCTCACTTTCACGGAGGTCACGTTCCAGACACCCCCACGATAAGTGAAAATCAACGAAGTAGCAATGTTCTATTTATTTTAGTATTTATATATATTTTAAAGCTTTAGAACTCACTTCTGCACTCTTATAAACCTTTCTCACACTTTAAAAAACATTTCTAATGTCAACCATTTTCTAAATTCATAAACCTACGTAATTTTAACAATATATGTATACTGTACACTACCACAAAATCCCATGATATGGTGAAAAATCCCGATAAATAATATAGATTCATGTTTTTTGAAAACCCATGAAGCAGTGAGTTGGAAAAAGTCGAACCATGAAATAGTGAGGGGCTATTCTATGCTTAATCTACATTTGCACTATGCAGCTCACCAATCCATTTCACTATTGAACATATCTTTGGTACTTGTGATGTCTAAGTTTTACAGAATGGAGCTATATGATAAAAGATCCATTTAATGAACTCACATACAAGCCTGAAGGCAGCCTCCTTCAGTAGAAAGAGCTTGCAATCAGACTCCCTAGGTCTTGGGACCAAGGGCAGGTCACTCAGTCTGCTGACCGTATTTCCTTATCTTGAAAGCGATATTCCTATGCTTGCTCGCAGAGTTGTGATGTTAAGGAAGGTTGGTCTTCTGGAAGCAGATCTAGAACAATGTCTGCTATGTAGGTGTTTGATACTTGGAAGCTGTTGTCATGATTGTATGGAAATGATACCAGTAGCTGTCAGAGCTGTGCCCATGAAACCTTGTGGGTGAAGAGGTACCCCAGAGCTAGTTTCTGGTCTCTCTCCAGCACTGGGGCTGAGGCTTAATAGATACTCATACCTTCATTCAGCTAGAGTTGAATACCAACTGGGTGTATTGTGAATGAGACAAGATCCTATTCTCATGGTGTTTACATTCTAGAAAGAGAGGAGGTAGATAACTGACTGAAAAATTAATTTTGTTGATAATTGTAGTTGAAGTTCTGTAAGGTGAAAGATGATGATTTGGGGTTTCCCCTTCAGATTGGCGGGGCATGAAAGGTTGCTGAAGATGTGACATTTGAACTGCAATCTGAATAAGAAGGTGACAGGCATGATGATCTGAGGGAAGAGATGTCCAAGCTGTGAGTGTAGCCAATGCCTCTGGGTGGAAATAACTTTAGTGGGTCTGAAGAAGAAAAAGAAACCTGCTTGGTGTGATTGCAAGGTAGAAGAGAAGAGCAAAAGCAGGAAACAGACTCCCAGGGCCAGCCAAGGCCAGATTTCAAAGGGTTGTGGGGGCCGGCCAGATAGTTCAGCGGACTAAAGCATCTGCTTCAGTAGAGCGCAGTGTTTGGGGTTCAATCTCTAGTGTGCTATGCTGGCCCTGCCCCCTGGGTGCACTAAGACTCCACTGAGTGGGTGTGATGACACGCATCTGTAATCCCAGCACTTGGGAGGCTGAAAATAGGAGAATCACTACAAGTTCAATCTACATAGTGAGACTCCATAGACCCTGTACTAAAATACATTAAAAAAAAAATGTAGTCAAAGAGCTTTGGACATTCCTGTACCTTAGCCCTGAGTGCCAGCCCTGTGAGTCTGTACCAATGAATGTAGTGCTAGGATTTGTTTCTAGATGTCCTGCCCTAGCCTTATGTAGTCATGGGGGTGGCCTTCTAGAGTTTGTGATTGGTTTATGATCCAGTGCTGGGATTGAAGGTATGCGTGCATCGCCCGCCAGGATGGGTAGCCTGCATACAGTGTAAGAGAAGAAAAGGATTCTTTTCCCTTCCTCTCTTGTTTTTAGTGTTTTCCACTGCTATGAAGTGTTACACCTCTGTCATATGCCTTGCTGCCTGGAGCCAGCTGATTTTGGACTGAAACTTTTACAAACTGAGCTAAATAAATATTCCCCCTCCAAGTGGTAGGTACTTTGTCCCAGCAAGGAGAAAAGCAGCTAAGGCACATGTTATTTTTTTCTTTACTTTTAGAAACCATACAATGACAAAGGTGAAAACCTCCAGTATAGACCCTGTCTTGTAACAAACTGACTGGTTCTCAGTTTGGTGTCTTTTCTTTGAAGGTATTTCACATTTGACTATGACTCTGTCATAGGATGTGATGAGATAGGTATGGAATTTCCCATTTGCATCTTCATGTCTGTGGCCAAGAAGTAGGAGACTTGGAGCATTTTGGGTTTTAGATTTTTTTGTGATAGGCATATTCCACTATAGTAGGAACTCATTAGGTGTTAGATCTGTACAGGTCTAGGCTTCAATCTTCTTGACAGGAGAGGGTATTACTAGGTAATTTGCAAGGGCCATTCTGGTGCTGTGGTCGTCACCAGATTTTCAGAAGCCCATTACCTTCCATAGTGGATTGGTATGTGGTTGTTTTACCTAATGTGATTATGTAGCACTCAGAGCAGTAGCCTTTGAAATGAAAGAAATTTAGAAAGTATTGGATAGTCCATAGTAATAGTAGTTCTGTGTGCATACAAGTATACAAATCTTTAGGCATTGAAAAGGTCCCAGGGTAAGTGAGGCATAAATACCTTGAATTTATAGGGCTTTGGAGGGGAAACTATGAAACACATAAACATCTTTTTTCCTGTAGCCATCTGGAAAGAACAGTATCTTCATGATTTTCTCATTTCTGAGGATCTTTAAGAATATTACATAAAAAAACAGAATATTGCATAAAAAACCCAAACTTGCCCATCTACAAACCAGTGGTGATGGTAGGGTTGTTAGCATTTGAATGTCATTAGGAAGATAAGAAAACAGTAAATTAAAACTTTTCATAGCTGTGCAAATTTAAATGATAGAGACTAAAAGAACATGGTAATCTTTTAATCAGAAAATGTTTTAATTGCCTTTTGTGTGTTTTGAACTTTATAGAACCATAAATATGGTGGATTCCAAATAACTGCTTACATAAATAATGTCTCCTTTCTTCAAGATTGAAAAGGCCAAACCCATTAAATGTGGAACATTTGGTGCTGCATCTTTACAGCAGAGATATTTAGCTACTGGAGATTTTGGTGGAAACCTTCATATATGGTAAGATCTCTTGAGCAGTGTTCAAATGCAGGACAAGCGCTTTCTTTGGTATTCTGACTACTCTTCCACTGAAGGAGGAAATTTTAATTTTAAACTGTTGCTTCTTTTGTTCAATTTAACTATAAAAGTATGGGGATTATCTTTTAATGTACTTTTTTAGGGTTCATATTCAAAATCCACTTGAAAATACTGATGTATTTTCCTTTAGATATTTTTGAATAATACTGTCAGTACTTCTTTAAATGCTGTTTTGTTCTATCACTTAATCGTGTCTATAAATAAGCTGTTTCTCTCCACTGTTATGAAATAATGCAGAAAAATGCACAAGTATAACATTGAAAATCAGATATTGTTTACATTTCACCAAGAGGTTTAGTATTATAGAATGATATGTTGAGTTTGTGAGTTTTTACTATACAACTCTTCACACCATTTACAATTTGCATATTTGATGCTTTAAGATCTAAGCACAAAGTCTTAGGAATCTGTCTGTTGACCAAATCAGGTAATCCTTTTTTTTTTTTTTTCTTTTTTTGGTTGTTTTTAATATATTTGGTATAGGGTCTTCCTATGCAGCTCATACGCTGCAGTGATCCTCCTGTTTTCAGCTGGGATTGCAGGCATGCGCCACCAACCTGGGTCTCAATGGCCGACTCAGCTTGCCGTGGGGTGGGGCTGGCACAGCATGTTGTGTCAGGGATGGAACCACGGTCCCTGAGCTTGCCTAAGCAGGCGCTTTAGTCCACTGAGCTATCTCGCCAGCCCGTCCTCTTTATTTTTCAAAAAAAAAAAAAAAAGTTGAATTAAAGTATATAGTAATGTTCTAGAAACTTGTCTTGGGGCTGGGGAGATAGCTCAGTAGAATAAATGCTTGCCTGGCAAGCATAGTATTCTGAGTTCAGTCCCGGGTACTGCAACAAAAAAAAAAAAAAAAAAGGAAAGCAAGCAAGCACAGGTACACATTCTCTATGATGAATATGATCACTATGTATATTGAAAATATACCCATAAAATCTGATTAGAATATTAAAAAGAAGAAACTTGTCTAGAATAAAGCTAATTTCTCCTTCCCTTCACGATTTAGTTGTTAAATTAGCATTTATTCATCACTTCTTGCAATCTGTGTACTTTCAGAGAAATTGGGAGAAAAACCATCCTGTTTTTTTAATGAATATATTTAAACTGTTGGCCATCTTCTTCTTCTTTTTTTTTTTTTTTTTTTTTTCTCTAATTGCCCTAAGGGGTGGAAGGCCATCTTCTTAATAGAGTTCGCTAGCATGGTACAAATATTACCAACTTACTTTCATTCATAAGTCTTATAACTTCAAGTTTAAAACTAATCATATTTTAAAATCTATAATAGTATTAAAACAGTTTTTTTTAAAAGTGGAATCATAGTCCTGTTAAACCTCTTGATTCTTTCATAATCATGGTACAAAGATAAATATCATCTCTAAACTAAGCTGAATCAGCTCAAATTTTTCCCCCAAGTACAGGGGATTGAAGCCAGGGGAACTCTGCTGCTAAGTGAGAGCCCCAGCTTTTAAATAATTTTTTTAATTAATTAATTAAGTAATTATTTTTGGGACAGACCCTAGCTAAGTTGTTCAGGTGGGGCTCTATCTAATTTGCTGTCCTCCTGTCTCAGCCTCCTTCTGTGCTGAGATTACAGGTGTAGCTGGCTTAATCAAGTTTTTGATTGATGATATTTTACAAATAATCTTGCTCCAACAAATTGAGATTACATTTCATAAATAACATTCCTTTAAAAACGTGAGTTTTTGAAAACTAGCTCACTGTGAGAACTGGGGATAGAAGCTACCAGTGAAGAGCAAAAAGAGGAAGGAAATGGGGGAGGCCGTCCTGGGGTCCGCGTGTAACCTCATCTGGTCATTTGTCTCTCAAGGTCCTGTTCATTGGCACTTTTCTAGGCGCCTTTTGAACGAACGTTGGATTAGATGAATTTCAGCCAGGCTGGCCGTCGTATTTATCATGACCACCATAAGGAGGTCACCGATGGAAATCAGCGTGACATTCACTGGCAGGGCAACACAGTCTAGACTGAGATGGGTACAAAGGACCGCAACACATATTTTAACCTCGGAAAATGTTTCAAAGTGAAACTACCAAGGCCAACTTTGGAATCCTTGTAAATCCCTTTGAATTTACTCTAGATTGAAAGCAGTGGTTTCTGTCAAATTGCTATGTACCCACCAGTCCGGGGGTTGCAGGTCTGTCCCCACAATCCTGATGCACACTGCCTGGGGAAGAAGCCACGAATCTGCCTTGCTGACAAGCACGCCTGGCCTGTCATCTCTTCAAGACCTGTGTAGGTCGTCTTCAAAGAATACTAAGTGGACTCAAGGCTTCAAGTTTCAGACTGAATAAAATTATAGTTTTCATTAGGGGCTTGAAAGAACCTGAAGCAGAGAAAACAATTTACAAGGAAATGTATAAATTACCTTTATAGAAAATCCTTATTTTTGAATAAAAACAGAAGCATATGCTGCGCATTCTTAAACTGTAGTAATGGATTTATTTTGCTACATACGGTTTAAGTAGGACTGTGTGCTTTCTATTTAGGAATTTGGAAGCTCCAGAGGTCCCAGTATATTCTGTCAAGGCCCATAAAGAAATTATAAATACTATAGATGGTATCGGAGGACTAGGAATCGGGGAAGGAGCGCCCGAAATTGTGACTGGCAGCCGAGATGGTGAGTTGCTGTGTGTACATAAGAAGGTTTTCTGTTTTGTTTTTTAATGGAAAGCTATGCACTACTGTACCTCTCCACAGAAGTCTCTTTTGGTCACTGTGATTCTCTTTAACAAATCTCTTTCTGTTTTAAATAGGCAAGCTTGATTGCATATCTCTCAGTTATTTCAGACTTTTGGGTATTTTTGAGTTAGAGGCATAGCACTTACTATTTTAGTTTAGATTTAGTGCAACTACTAACATTGATAGCTTCCTTTGAGCCTTGAAGGATTTAAAATGTCTTTACAGGTTTTGAAGCAGCTGACGATATAATGTGGGTGGCAGCTTTTCATTTTCTTTTTTTAAAAAGCAGAATTAGTACTTGTGAAAATTGTCATATTGACAGCTGGTTGAAAACTGAACTTCTATAATCCATCCTCTGAGCATTGTGGAGAGTGCCAGGGTACCAGGTGGGCTCTTCCCTCTGCACCGGTCTGGTCACCTACAGTGACCCAGGCCCCGAGGAACTGGTCTGGTGGTGTCCTTTTTTGTTCTGAATGACTGTCACAGAGTTGAGAATTTTTGTGGTTCATAAAGTATAAGAGATTAGTACTTTAGCTGTTTCAGCCAAATGACTGCTCAAGACCATGAAAAAATTGTCTTAAAAGAAAAGTGAGATAAAATTTTCTAATAATTCCTCAAAAGCATTGTGTGTTAAAAGTCAATTCTTTTTTGTCAGTCATAAAAGCAGTATGCAGGGCTGGTGAGATGGCTCAGTGGTCTAAAGCACCTACTTAGAACAAGCTTAGCAAAGCACAGGGACCACGGTTCAATCCCCCAGCACCACATGCTGGCCAGCCCTGCCCCCTGGTGGGCTGAGCTGGCCACACACACACAAATAAATAAATAAAATTAAAAAAAAAAAAAAAGACAAAAACAAATAAAAAAAAAATAAAAGCAGTATGCAGTTGAGAAGGAAAAATAACATACAGCCTATTAACACTAGCACAGCACTAGATTTTTTTTCCTGTTTGTGTGTTGTTTGTTTTTTGTATAGTACAGGCTGGCCTTGAGCTTGCTGTGTAGTCCAGGTTGGTCGTGAACTCTCAGTTCTCCTTCCTTAGCCTGCCAAGTGCTGGGCTTGCAGACGCACACCACCTGCTCAGCTCTTGATCTATTTTTTAAACATATCCAAATTTATATATAATTTTGTATATGTATCAGTGTGAATATAATTATCTCACTTTGTCCATTTAAGGCTTACTGCATGCAGATATTACAGTTTCTGTATAGTTTTCATAATTATTACTCTAATGGTTATAATATTCCCATGGATGGCTGTGTTCAGTGCACCTGTTAGTGAGCACTAAGTATGCCTTAAGGTTTTAGTGTATTGTTTTGGGAGAGTGATTTAAAAATATAGAAGAAGTGATTGTTTCTTGTATGTACCTCTTTTAGGGTAAATACAGTTTATGATTCTTAAAATTTGTTGTTAAACTTTCAAAAGAACCTGTTTACATTATCCACTGTACTGGATGAGGTAAATTTGCAGCCCACTCTATTGGCATTTGTTTTCTTTCTTTTTCCCCTAATTCCATGATGATAAAAATAGTGTTCTTACTCATAGTGATGTCTTTTTACATACTTTTTTTTTCTAATTTAACTCGTATCAACTTCCTATAAATCTTACAAATCTGTGTAGGTCCTATAAAGTAATGCTCATATTTGTGAGACTTTTTTTGTTTGTTTCTTTCCTCCTTTTTTTTTTTTTTAACGTAATTGGTACAGGGTCTCACTACACAGCTCAGGCTCCTAGTAGTCCTCCTGTTTTCAGCCTCCCTAGCACTGGGATTACAGGCGTGTGCCACCATGTCTGGTCTCAGTGGCTGGCTCAGCACGCCTGGTGGGCTAAGGCCAGTATGACATGTAGTGCTGGAGATCGAACCCTGGTCCTTGGGTTTGCCTAAGCAGGTGCTTAGTCTCCTGAGTTATCTTGCCTACCTTGTTTCCTTTTTGTAGGAGCTTTTTAATGACCAACTGTATCCCTGGAGATAAATCTAGTAGGATGTTATACCTTTCAAGTATTTTTCTTATTTTCCCTGTTCTCACATACTTGCTTTTAGCCATTTTATTACATTCATTTGCATTTCTTACTGGCAGTGGCACTATTTAGTTAGTAAGAATTTAGTTAATAACAATTAACAGGGGCGAATTAAAGTGCCTGCAAGCACGCACAGGGTCTGGGGTTTTGATCCCTGGGCCTGCCGTGCCAGCCCCGCTCCTGGGGCACACTGAGACAGCAATTGAGACTGGGCATGGTGGTGTGCACCTGTAATCTCAGCTCTTGGGAGGCTGTAAACAGGCGGATTAAATCTAAAGGTGAGATCCTGAACACCCTGTAGACCCTTCCCTAAAATACAAAAAAAAAAAAAAAAAAAAAAAAAAATTAACATGTAGGGATTGAAATTGAGAATTGTTAATTTTATTTATTTATTTATTTATTTATTTATTTTTTGCAGAACCAGGGATTGAACTCAGATCCTTGTGTTTGCCAGTCAAGCGCTTATCCTACTGAGCCATCTCCCCGGTCCCTGTTAATTTTATTTAATGTTTTATTTAATTTCATGTTAAATAGTATTTTAAAATCCCATATAAAAAAACCCTCACACATATAAAAATGAGAGCTTATAAGAAAAATGCCAATGGTTATATGCTTAATAAAGATTAAAGTTGACGTTGGTATTATAAATAAATAATACATTTCTTTAGGCTCGAAGAAAGTAAGGCATAGCTGGAATTACATAATGTATTTTTTTTGTCATTCATAACTTGTATATAACTTAGGAACAGTTTTTCTTTTTCTATTTTTTTCTTGGTATTTAGGGCAGGGTCTACAGGGTCTCACTGTGTAGATCGGACTCATAGTGATCCTCCTATTTACAGCCTCCCAAGAGCTGAGATTACAGGGAAGTGCCACCACACCCAGTCTCAGTCACTGGCTCAGTGTGCCCCGGGGGCAAGGCCGGTACAGCAGACCCCAGGGATTGAACTCCCGGCCCCTGCATCTGCCTAAGCAGGCACTTTAATCTGCTGAGCTATTCGGCTGGCCCTAGGAATAGTTTTTCTGTGTATTTATTAATTTGAAACTCATGTAATCAGTAACATGGCATATAGATCTGCTGTTGTCCAATGCCATTTAACCAATTAGAAAACAAAAATGTGAGTGGTTTTTGATGTTACCCTATCTATAACATGTAGCCACAAAAGAATGCAGAGAGGAGATGTGATTGTTCACCATGGAATTCTGCTCTTTTATTTGTGGCAGGAACTGTGAAAGTGTGGGACCCAAGGCAAAAAGATGATCCTGTGGCCAATATGGAGCCAGTAAAAGGAGAAAACAAGAGGGACTGTTGGACTGTGGCATTTGGTAAGTCATTGAGGAACTTTTGCTTAGTGCCCTTAAAAAAAAATTCCTGATAGTCCCTGTGCAATCTGCTTTGTGGATGTTTCTGAAGCAGATACCACAGTGGTTGATGCCAGCCCCTGGGATGAGGGTTTAGACAGTTAAGTATTCAAAAATATTTGCTGTTTCTATTTGTTTCTGATTAATTAGGTAAGATTTTCCTAGTTTAGAACTGCATGCCATTAATGAGGCAAAGCAGAGGCTCAAGTACTAAACATAACCGAACAAAATCTATGGTTTAAAAAAATTTATTTATTTATTTATTTATTTATTTATTTATTTATTTGATACAGGGTCTTGCTATGCAGCTCAGACTCAGACTCATAAATCCTCCTGTCTCAGCCTCTCCAGTGCTGGGATTACAGATGTACACTGGCATGTAGTACCAGGCATCAAACCCAGGTTCTTGCGCTTGCAAGGCAAGTGCTTAGACTGCTGAGCTATCTCCCCAGCTCCCAAAATTCATGTTTTATGTAGTGTGTTTATTTTCTAGAAAAATAGTTGATAACTGTTCCTTTATCAGTGTACTCATAAAATACTGAATTTCTAGAACTAATTGATTGAATCTCTTGCTAAGCACCCCCCAAAAATTAAGATTTGTTACTAAAGGGTTTGGGCTATATTTAGTTTTAAATCTCTGTTTTCTTTTTTTTTAGTATATGCATACAGGTAACATGAGTACAAAATACCTTGTAACAGTCCAAGTGAACTTTTAGCTTTTTCCATTAGAGTGTCACTGAGTCACAGGAAAGTGTAGATTTCTGACTTTTAAAAGAAATGACTGTGTGATAATTACTAAGTAAGTGTACATCATGAACAATAATATAAATTTAGGATATGTGTGTGCACTTGGGCAGGAAGTTTCAGGCCTAATATTTACAGTGATTATTTTTAAATTGTTATAGTTAAAAAGTAGTTATCTTTGGATCCTTGGAAGTCTTTTCACTGCTGATCTGAGGAACATGAAGATGATTTGGTATATTATCATATTCAATTTTTTAAAACTCATCCATTGATTTGAATGTTTTGTTTTGTGATGAGGTCTTGCTGAACTGCCTAGGGTGGCCTCAAACTGCGAGGCTCATGTGGCACCCAAGTAGCTGCAACTAAAATGTGCATCCCACCATGCCTGGTGGGAGAAGTTTTTCTAATGATTGCCAAGATGTACAAACCGTTGGGGGCCTGCAGAGGTAGAAAAAACTCATAACTATAGTGTCCTGCTGATAGTTTAGTCAAGTGGGCCCGGCCATCCACATTACAAGATAGGAGTAAGCAAAGGTTCCCAAGTGCCATAGATAAGATGCAGAGGAAGGCAGAGGGAGAGATGCTGGGAGGAAGAGTGTTCTGAGCTCATGCCAGATTCATGGGACTCTCATTACTGAATTAGGAGGAAATTCCAAACGTGGGGCATAACTTATCGGTGCCCAAGGTAATGTCTATAACCGAATGGTGGCAGTAACCTACAGGTAGCTCAGAGCCACGACGTAGGTATTAGGGTGGCCTGGAGGTCATGGGAAGCCTTTGTGAGGGTTTGTATGGAGAGCTGTGGTTCAGGCTTTTAAGAAAGTCAGCGAACATTAACTGTGTAGCAGTGAGAAGAGGGGCTCAGCACATAGAGTGGCTCGGCGCTTTTGTTATGTTCCTAGGTAAGAGAGTAGAAGCAATGAGAACGGAGCAGGGAGGATGATTCCAGAGATAATGCTGTGGCCCAGTGGAACTTGGCAATGTTTTGGATCTGGGGAACAAGGAAAAGGAGTATCTCTGTGATAACTGACTTTCTGGTCTTAACTGTGGAGTGAATGTGAATGATGCTTTTGGTGGCATGAATGAACCTCTTCAATAAAAAGGCTGTATTGGTGGCTGGGGGTGGCTGAGTAGGGAACCCCCACTGGTGCAGTGGGTTTGGGTTATGGTCAGTTTAAGCTGCTGGAGTTTATGTGGAGTAAGTTGGAGGCGGGAAGAAGGAAAGCACTGGGGTAAGATGTCCAGGGAGCCTTGCACAGCGACAACCCCCTTGCCGCAGCAAGGGGACTCAGGATAAACAATCCCTGCATCTTAGCAGTGTGTGCTTAACTACAGAATATAAAGTTACTTCAGGTGTGATCAGCCATGCTACAAAAAATGCATGAGTATTTATTCCACCTTATTCAGATTTTCTGGCAAAGACAGAATAATGCCAGAACAACATTTTGTAAGATAAATGAGTTTTAAAGTTCTTCTGTTTGTGTTCAAAATATTTGGCACCAGAGGAATGAATAGAAGCATGCCGGTGTGTCTCCCAGACATGTGGGAACTGTGTTTGAGCTGTAGCAAGCAAAATATAGGGAGAGCATTTCTCTTCAACTTAGAATCCAGTAAACACGTCAGTGTGCCGCATGAATACAGAATTTCAGTGAATGACCTCCCCCTTCCCCAGTACTGGAGGCAGTATCTGTGAACCAGCCCTTTCTAAATTTTATTTTGGGGTGAAGTCTCCCTAAGTCTCCCAGGCTGGCCTCAGACTTGTGACCTCCCTGCCTCAGCCTTCTGGGTAGCTGGGATTGCAGGGGGGCACTTACTGTACCCAGCTCAAATAAGCCTTTTAAAAAATAAGCAAAAAATTGGTAATCTTGATATCCTGTCAGGTTTAATAAAAGGGGATTTGTACCTGATGTGATTTTTTAAAATTAGATTTGACTTATATGTGTAGCTTTAGAGCATATTTTAGAACCTCGATACTAGCATTGTTAGGCCTGAAATGTTGTATCTTGGTTTCCAGGCAATGCTTATAATCAAGAAGAACGTGTTGTTTGTGCTGGCTATGACAATGGGGATATCAAACTGTTTGATCTCAGAAATATGGCGCTGCGGTGGGAAACAAATATAAAAAATGGGGTAATGTACATCCTGATGCTGTTTCACCTCTCTCCGTGTGTTTTCCTTCACACAGACAACTGCAGAGTTTTAAAAGCACCTCTGTTAGCCCATTTCAGCCTCTGCCAGTGTTTCCTAGCCTTTCGGGGTCAGACTCCTTTGAGGTCCCAGTGACCATTGCGCTTCCTTTCTTCAGAAAGTGAACACCCCTGTAGATACAAGTGTATGGTGCGGGGGAGCCCCACCCCAGAGGCCCTGTGTGGACCCTGTGGGTTGTGCAGCATGACTATAAAGTGAGCCAGCGAGAGGGCCTCTCTGCTGGTACCAAGAAGCTGCAGGGGCAGCAGCCCCTCTAGAACTCTGGGACTGTGCACCTTTACTGGAAAGCCTGTTTCCCTCCTGTTTTCTAAAGGCAGCCTTGACTGAACTGTGCTGATTTATTTATTTATGCACTACTGGGAATTGAACCTTACACTGATCTGTATCCCCAGCCCTTTTCTAGTGTTTTATTTGAGACAGAGTCTTGCTGAGTTGCCCAGGCTGGCTCTAGTGTGCAGTCCTCCTGCCTCAGCTTCCCAAGGGCAGGCGTGATAGCATATACCACCTTGCCTGACAGATTTGTTTGTTTTAAGATTAAAAGCAGTTGAAGACTCAAAAGATGAAATGATCATTTATGTGCTTTTACTTTTTTTTTTTTTTTTAATGTATTTAGTACAGGGTCTAAAAAGGTCTCACTACGCAGATTGGACTCATAGTGATTCTCCTGTTTTGAGCCTTCCCAGCACTGGGATTACAGGCACACGCCACCACGCCCAGTCTCAGTTGCTATCTGAGCATGCTCTGGGGGTGGGGCCAGCACAGCACACTGGAGATTGAACCCTGGTCACTGAGTCTGCCTAAGCAGGTGCTTTAATCTGTTGAGCTATCTGGCCAGCCTTACATAATCTTACTATAAAGCGCTTTTAGCTAGTTTTAGAAAGCCTCCTGAGTAATAGTGAGCCAATTGATAACATATTCTCTGTTTGCAGGTATGTAGCTTGGAGTTTGACAGAAAAGACATAAGTATGAACAAGTTAGTAGCTACGTCTTTGGAAGGGAAGTTTCATGTTTTTGACATGAGAACGCAGCATCCCACCAAAGGTTTTGCCTCTGTTTCAGAAAAGGTAAATATGAGTGAAATGTCTCTATGAAGAGGAATGGTAGCTTGTTTTATGCTAATAAATAGAATGAGTCACTAAGGTTCTTCTAGGTCTTTATATGAAAAGAGCTAAATTTGTGGGATCCTGACAAGATTTTTTTGTACAAAGAATATGTTTATCAATTTAGGCTCTTTGAATATGATAAAGATCTCTGCTAGGAATCTTATTTTGTGATTTAAGATTATCACAAGAAACCTTACTGATGTTAGGAATTTGATCAAATCCTAGCCTGATATATTCTAATAAATATATGTTTTAAAAAATATAACTTAATTGCATGCTTTCAGGATATATCAGTATATATCCATTATGTCATTTCATCAGTTTTGTATTTTTGGGTGGCTACATTAAAGAAATTATTTAAGTTATTGATTACTCAGATGAGTATGTATTAGGCATTCAAAAGATTTTATTTGTTTATATTTTGTTGGAGCTCCAGTGGCGCAATTGGTTAGCACACGGTACTTACACTTTATATTTTGTCTTGCTTTTGAGAGGTAATTTAGAGGAGGAGACAGTATTCTAGCATTATAAAAATGATGAAGAAAGCAAATTGAAGGGAAAATACTGCCAGAGAAAGAGCAAAAAATATCTGGAATACAGGGATTATATAAAATACATGCTGACACATCCTAACACTTGCAAGATGTGGATTGGTAATGTAACTCTGACCTTTCTTTTTTGCATCAGGAATAGAACTTATGACCTTGCGCTGGCCAGGCAGGCACTGTGCCATTGAGCTATATCCCCAGCCCGAGCTTTCTTGATTATGAAACAAAAAACCAGTAATAGATTGGTAGCTTCTATAAGATGAAAATGTACAAGGTGCTTAGGAAATAAGGAGTCACTACCTGGTCCCCTCTCCCTCCACTGTAGATTCTGTAGGATATCTCAAGCCTATTTTACAGTAATTATTATTGTATATGACCTTCTACTGCTGGATGGTCTAACTTCTTAACAAAGTAACCACAAATTGTAATACTGTTTTGCCTTTGTTGTTTCAGAATATATTAAGTACCTATCCATAGCAATCAGCACTTTATTAGATTGTTTTGTATACAATTCATAACACATTTTTTGATTATCTGTAAATAATAGTGTCCTCTTCAAAATTTTTTTCCTAATATATAGTTAAGCTGGTGATGGCTGGGTTTGTCAGGTTAATGTCTCTGACCTTTCATTTTTAGGTATATTTTATGAGGTCATTTTCTCCCCTACCCCTGTAGTTATGTTTTTCTTAACTCCTACAAAAAACCCAAAGTTTAAACTGCAAAACAAAAGCAAATTTTGGCCACTGGAACCTAAGCATTTGGGGACTTCTACTAATGTGTATTTTGAGATGTGGGTGTTTATCTTGAAGTCAGTACTCACACAAGACTATGAAAAGTCGAAGTGGAGACTGATCACTCACCAAAATGTAAAGTGCAAACACAGGGCTTCGTTGGAGGCAGCCAGGCTCACTGCTCCCCCAAAGCAGAGGAGCCCTGTCCTGTCTCCCCCAGGCCCCCCCGCCCCTCCTGCCCCTCCCTCCAAAGCCCCCCCAACAAGGATGATTTACTGACTGTTGTTGAGGGGCTCACAGACTCGCACCCCCTTCCTGTTGCCATTTTAAAATCTTCGTGTTTAATGCACCTGGGAAGAGCCTTGTTGCGACCATGAACACTGTCTATCCCAAGGTCTGCACTGTGCAGAAGTTGGAAGGCAGTGGGTTGAAGATAAGGCTCTCAGAGGTGTTAAGCTAAAATTTAATCAATAAACCAGAACTTTGTACTTGCCATCATTTTTACTGGGGATCTAAAACTGTTCTAAAATCTAAAGTCTGTTTAAGTATCAGTCTATATTTTCCCCCCTTAGGAATAAGTCTATACTTTTGTATTTTTCCCTTTCAGAATGAACTAGAGAGATTTAAATATATAAACTGTATTGTAATAATTTCTATGATTCTATAAATGTAAATGGACTTTCCATCTAGTATCTTTTGATCCATTACAGAAAAATGATATCTTCTAATTTCTGGTGGTCTTCTGTAAATGTTTACAGCTATTATAAAGAGATGTGCTAGAAACATCCTTAGTTCCTCTCTAATAGCTAAAGTGCAGTGAAATTCATTGTAGGGCTTCTCTTCCAGGATGCCGTGTAGCATATAAACCAGTGTGTGCCTGCTCCCTTCTAGGCTCATAAATCCACCGTGTGGCAAGTCCGACACCTGCCGCAGAATAGAGAGCTCTTCCTGACAACTGGGGGTGCTGGCAGCCTTCACCTGTGGAAGTAGTAAGTCGCTCCCAGTGCGCACTGCTCCTTTTTAAAGTTACTAGTGGGAGTAAGGTAGGATTAGATTGAATTTTTCTGTCTTTCTCCTCCTTTGACTTAGTTCGTTTTGATATGATTTTAACTGTCATCGTGTTATGTAACTATTGTTTTCTAGGCATTTTTTAAAAGTATACTTACTCTACACATAATATTAGTCTTCTTGTGACAAACTACATAGAGTTTTTCATTATAGTTGTGTCTTCTGTATATTACAAGAGCGTAGTGAGAGCTTTCTCCATAGATTCAAAATCATGGTTTTTGCTAGGCTTTTTCTTCTTCTTTTTTTTTTTTTTTTTTTGGTCTTTTTTTTACTTTACTGTATTTTTTTGGTTGAATTGTTTTTTAAGGGAGGTTTATTTTTTTTGTTTTTGGTGCTGAGAACCCAGGTTTTCCAGCTTGCTAGGCAAGCATTCTACCCCTGAGCCAAATCCCCAGCCCCTAGGCTTTTTTCTTTTTAAAGCGCAAAATTTGACTCAAGGCTTCCACCACATACCGTCTTATACTTGATTGGAGCACTGGCCCTGAAACCTAAGCAAGACTGGAATGCTTTGTTTTAGCTCCTGAAAATTCACTCGCCTAGATTGAATTATTGTGATCAAACCAAAAATCAGAGCCGGTCTACCCATTGGTTTCCAGGAACACCACTGAGCTTGTTCCCAGCACATCTGTAACCTTGAGCTGCGCTCTGTGAATCCTGAGGGCCGTCTTCATGCCAGTTTTATTTATACTCCACACAGTGCCACATCTGCAGTGAGAATTTTATATCATAGTGAATGCAGTAGTTACATCAGTCTGTATGTAATTACAAATTGGAAATTTATCTCAATGTGAACTTTTTAATTTTTACTATAACTGATGTCTGGTCTAATCTTCAAGTTGGTTTGGAGCTTTGCTGCCAAATATTTGGTTAGAAAAAGAGGACTGGTTTAAGTAAAATGATACTTAGCTTGGTTCTGTCTTCCCAGCCCTCCCTGATAGCAGTGCAAGTAAATTGTAAATTTTACTGAGCATGTAATGAAGAGTTCCTAGAAAAATTCATCTCCTTGTTTAGATTTTAGTTTTTGAGTGAATGGCTGTGCTGATTTTTTTTTTAAAGTCTTTAAAGCATGCACACATACTTTTAAAATTTTAAGAGATGGTATGGAGGGTTTCAAACAAATACTATCTTTTAAATACTAAATAACTGCAATGTTGTCTAGAGGTGAAAAAACAGCTGTTTAAACTATTTATTTAAATCTGCATGCTTTGTTTCTTTTAATTAAAATAACTTATAGGGTCTGAGAGGTGGAGAGACTTTCTTCCTGTAGGTTCTTCCTTTCTGCTCTGCCTCTTAATTGGCTTCATGGTTTTTAAGCTCTTACCTTTTTTTTTTTTAAGCCTTTATCCTTTTTTAAAGAGCATTGACAACCAAAGGTGATGTCATAGGATGCCAAAAGACTCTGAACAGCCTTCTGAGGATGAGTATTCCATTTCACTAGAACCCATTTCCTTAGGGGAAGCATATCCTGTCCCCTTCTAGACCAAATAGTATTTATTTATTAATTAAGCATAATTTGTTTATTAGCTAAAAAGTCAGATATTCTTGGAATCGCTTTTACCGTAGAGCGGTAAGATTTAGGTCTGATGTCTGCCTAGTGGAGCCTTCATGGACCCAGCCTGTGTCCTTGTGATGGAGCTTACTGTCCCCACCCAGAGGGCCCAGGTCTCACCCTCCGCGCTCAGTGGGGCTTCTGTGGTGTTCTTACCCTCGCCCTTGCCTGTGCCTTGTGCGGCTGGTGTCTGTGCAAACCTAGAGAAGAGCTATAATCCAGGGTTACTGAGAGCACCAAGTCCATTTATTGTTGAAGAATTCTGCATCACCCTGGGCTTTCTTTTTTTTTTTTTTTTTTTTTTTTAAGACAATTTTCTTTTCTTTTTTGCAGAACCAGGGATTGAACTCAGGGCCTTGAGCTTGCCAGGCAAGCGCTTATTCTACTGAGCCATCTCCCCAGCCCTTTGGGCTTTCTTATTAAAAGGGTGATAAAGGGAAATGCTGAACAGAGATGAAGCTTTGAAGTTTTAAGTAGAAAGACCCTTCCCTATGAGATGTTTTGGGGGTAGTGTTATTAAAAGTACCATCTGTTTATTTACGTACAACTCAACATGGAAAGATTCTTTACACATTAGTGCCAGTACCAAACTTGGTTACCAAGCTCAACCGAGAGATAAAAATAATCATTGAGGTTTATGTATAAAAATGATGAGTGGGGGTTTTTCTTCTCATACCACTTTGTTCTGTTTTCAGTGAGTACCCCATGCAGAGATCAAAGAAGGACCCCGAGGGTGTAGAGATGGGTGTGGCAGGCTCAGTGAGCCTGCTGCAGAATGTCACCGTCTCCACCCAGCCCATTTCAAGCTTAGACTGGAGTCCAGACAAAAGGGGCCTCTGCGTCTGCACTTCCTTCGACCAGACGGTGAGGGTGCTGATTGTTACCAAGCTCAAGACAGTCTGACCTGAAGGCTTTGGACCTGGAAACTCCCAGAGGGTCACTTGCAGAATTGAGGGTGTGTTTTGGGAACTGCTGACCCTCACTGAACGAAGTTGTTGGATTTGGCTGATGAAGGCTCCAGATGTAAGTCCTGAGGCCAGCCTCTCTCGGGATATACTGGATGACCTGACTGGACACGGCCCGCTATGTAGGAGAGACCACGTCTCTAGGACCAGCTGTGTTCCTCTCCCTGCCATTTTGAATATGGAATTCAGAGCCGGATGTGTAAGCCCCGTGCTTCAGGAGACTGAGGCTGGAGATTCCACCAGTTTGAGAGGAACCTGGACACCTCAGTGAGGTCCTGAAGCTAAATACATACATACATACATGCATACATACATGCATGCATACATACACATATACATACATAAAATGAAATAGCCAAAGTACATAGTTCTTGATATTTAAACATATTTTAAGTTGTTCTCTGTCCCCAGAATTCCCTATTTTTTGTTTACACTGATGTTGAATTTTAGGGTTTTAATGTTGCAGTTTAAGTCACTTCATTTTGTTTAGTTTGTCTTAGAAAAACTAAATTAAAATTCATTAATGCATTCTGTGAGATTTCAGGATAAGTTTCTATTCAGAGTACTATTTTATAAAGTACAAAAATGGCACTATCAGACTGGATTTATGTATGTTTAAAGCAGTGTATCTCATTAAAAATACCATGATTATAAAGATCTCTTGTATCTGAAATACAGGAGTTGAGGCTGTAAAACTTGGTTGTTGACTTTGATAAATGATGACATGTAGATGATCGTGGGGAGTTTGTAGCCTTAATTTTTTGTCAAACCTTTAAAATCTATCTTGTAAATGAACTTCTGTTTTTTTAAATTCTACGGAAGCTTTGAGTCTGTTGATTTAATAAAATGAATAATATCACTTCCTTTTGCTGTGTAAGTGATGAATAAGGACCAGGGATGTAGCTCAGCAGCACAAGCGCCTGGCAAGCAGCACAAGGTCCTGAGTTTGATTCCCGATATCAAAATCAAAAAAGAAAAGTTCTAAATAAATACCTCTTAGTTCCCCTGGTGTGTTTACTGTGCCCCAGGCCTTTAGCTGTGCTTGGGACATCTTGACTGTCACACTTTCATTAGGTTTGCTATCCCCTGCTTCCACTGAAGAGGACCGAACCACCTACATTTGTAATTTGTCAAACTTCTGTGATTTCAGGGGTTAATAAAGAGTCATTCGTTTGGACTATAAAGTGAAGAAAATCGATTTTCAGTTCCCACTGAAGCCAGGATACACTGTTTTCTAACTATGGAATGTCTGTCTTATTTAATTTGTGTGCACACTGCAATGGGACCCAACCTACTCGCTAGCTGTCTACTGAACGGCACCTCCAGCCCCTGGATTTTTTTTTTTTTTTTTAGGGAGTAAAGGTTTATTTATTTATTTATTTTTAAAATGTTTTTATTGAGAAACAAATACCAATGAGACAGTTTTACAACCAATTACTAGTACATTTTCAATAATTAACACATTGCATATTGTTGTCTTAGTGGTTATTCATTGTACAAGATGCAGACCCGATATCCTGTCTCAAACACTATTAGAACAAACCTCTCTATTCACTAAATTAAGAGAATGGAGCTGTATATCTATCCTATTTTGAGTATAAAGATGCAAAGTGGTCGTTCATTTGTATCCCCCTTTTTTGTTTAGTTTTGTCAGAGAAGGGCATTCCGTTGTCATTTAAATATTGTAGGTACATGAATTCAGCAAAATATCTCAATATAGTCCCAATAGTCCATAATAGTAGTGGGTTTTCCATAAGATTGTCAATGTTTGAAGTTGTTGACTTGAGCATTTTACAGCTCATCATATTAATATGGCTTTACTTTTTATACTTCATTTTCATACTTTTCTACTGGATGTTTAAGACCAAGAAAAAGCAAGATATATATAACAAGAAATGTAACTTTTGTATTTGATAAGGTCAGTCAAATCTCCTCAGGATTTAACCTGAATCTCTGTACCTGAGTTTGTAGATTCTTTGTCATTGTCAGTCATATGGATCAGTCACAGCCATTACTTGACCAGTTTGCTCTCTGTGAAAGCTTGAGAGAATGTTTTCTCTCCATGTGACTCTCCTGAGGCACACTCTACATCATCGATCACTTTCCTCTGTGGCCCTAAAATCTCCTTGATCAGAAAATTTGGGACACAATTGAGTTACAGGGTGTTACTGTACAGGTTCTCCTATTTCCTGAGTCCTTACTGACCTTGAAAGGCTAGAGCCAAAATGTTGGCTGTCCTTGTACCTCTTCTTTTTCTTTAATTTTTGGTCTGCAAACTTAAGTTGTTAACCCTCCAGAAGAGAAACTTAATGATATTATTACCCTATAACAGAGGCAGTTGAGCTTAACCTCACTATCTATCTGCATATCAAACATCTTAGCATGGAACAGGTATTTTCCATCAAGTATTGATATGTTAAACTTTGAGTCCCTCCAGAATATGATGAAAAAAGATTAAAAAGATAAAAAAAATTTAAAAATAAGAATAAACATTCACATATTTTTGCAAAGAAATTTAGAAATCTAACAATATACAGCCTTGTAGCAGGACAGTCCTGTCACTGTTTTTTGTCTCATGTTTTCATTTATTACCTTTTTTTTTTTTTTAACGAACCTTTACTTGAGAGACAGTATGGCTGTAATTGCTTTGTCATGACAAGCAGTACGTAATTAGAAGACCAGAATGACAGGCATTCCAAGCATGACCCTACCATTACACATTGCTTTCTTCAGTGCCGTTGCTTCGTTCACGGGTATCAGCATATATAGTCAGGGTGAGAAACCTACCAATTAACTGCTATTTTCAAAAACATGCTGAAGATTCTTAGAACCATTGCCTTTCCTATCTTGTGCATATAAATGTATGACTTTGCCCCTGTCATGTTTTCTAGCTTTTATCCTTGCCCTCTCTTTGTTAACTAATCCTCAAGTTCTCGCTTTCCTTTTAATTGTGTTATGCCTTTCTATTTTTATTTCTTCCTTTGAGTTCTTATACTAGGGAGACTATATGATACTTACACATGTGGGTCGGGTTTATTTCACTTATGAGTATATCTTCAAGTAGCGTCCACTTTAATATAAAGGCTTTGAGTTTATCATTCTTTATAGCTGAGTAATACTCTATTGTATAAAAATACAACATCATTTTCATCCATTCCTCAGGTGATGGGCATCTTGTTTTTTTCCAAGATTTGGCTATCACAAATTGTGCTGCCATAAACATAGGTACACATATTTCACTATGATATGACATTTTCCCAGATGAAATTCCCAGTGGCAGGATAGCTGGTTTGAATTGGATTTCTAGTCCTAGTTTTTTAAGGCGACTCTACACTGATTTCCGTAACGGTTGCACCAGCTACATTCCCACCAGCAGCGGAGAAGGGTTCCTTTTTCCCCACAGCCTCTCCAACATTTGTTGTCAGTTGATTTCTTTATGATAGCCATTCTTTCTGGGGTGAGATGGTATCTCAGTGTTGTTTTAATTTGCATTTCACAGATGGCTAGTAATGTGGAGCATTTTTTCATATATTTATTTGCTTCTTTAATTTCATCCTCTGAGAAGTGTGTGTTCATCTCGGGTGCCCATTTCCGGATTGGGTCTTGAAATTTTGGGGCCCTAGTGCTTTTTAGTTCTTTATAAATTCTAGAGAGCAGACCTTTGTCTGAGTGCTTATTAATCAAGATTTTTTCGAAATTTGTGGGTTGTCTTTTCACTTTGTTGGTGATTTCTTTTGATGTGCAAAAACTTCTCAATAAGAGATGGTCCCAGTTGTTAATTCTTTCAAGTGTTACCCATGCAATTTGGTTTTTGTTCATGAACTCTTTGCCTACCCCTATGTCTTCAAGAGTTCTTCCTACTTTCTCTTCCTGTAGATTTAGTGTTTCTCTTACAGTGTTTAAATCTTTAATCCATTTTGACTTTAGCTTAGTGCATGGTGATAGACCTGGGTCAAGTTTTGGTTTTTGACATATAGAGGCAGTTTTTCCCCGCACCATTTGTTAAAGAGGCTATCTTTCTTCCAGTGAGTATGTTTGGCCCCTTTGTCAAAGATAAGGTGGCTGAGTGTGTTCATAGGGTAATTACACCCTTTTCATGCCTTATTGCTTGTATTTGAATTTTTTTCTTTCCTCTGTTTGATGAGGTTAGCTAGGGGCTTATTGATTTTATTTAATCTTTCAAAGAACCAGCTTTTTGATTCATTAATTCTTTGAACTGTTTTCTTCATCTCATTTGAATTAATTTCTGTTCTAATACTTATGATTTCTTTCCGTCTTTGGGCTCTGGGTTTGGTTTGCTCTTCCTTTTATAGATGTTGGAGGTGCACCATTAGGGTGTTTATTTGTTCCCATTCTGTTTTCCTAATGTGTGAGTCACAGCTATAAATTTCCCTCTGAGGACTGCTTTCATCATATCCCATAAATTCTAATATGTTGTGCTTGAATTTTCATTGAATTGTAGATATTGTTCAGTTTCTTATTTAATTTCATCTGTGACCCATTGGTTGCTGAGTAGAGTGTTATTTAATTTCCATGTATTTGTGGGGTTTTTCTGGGTTTTTTTGTCATTTATTTCTAGTTTCATCGCATTGTGATCAGATAATATGCATGGGATAATTTCTGTTTTCTTGCATATACTTAAGCATGACCTGTGGACCAGTATGCGGTCTATTTTAGAAAATGACCCATGTGCAGCTGAAAAAAATGTGTATTCAGCTGTTTTTGGGTGGAACACTCTGTATATGTGCACTAAATCCATTTGTTCCAAGCTCTGGTTCAGTTCAGTTCTGCTACTTCTTTGCTAATTTTTTTTTCTGTTTGACCTGTCTCTTTGGCATAAGGGGGTGTTAAGGTCTCCTGTTAAGATTGTGGTATTGAATATTAGATTTTTCATGTCCATTAAGATTTGTCTTATATAGTTGGGTGCTCCTGTGTTTGGTGCGTAAATATTTATTTTCCTCTTGAATTTTTCCCCGAACCAGTATATAGTGACCTTCTTTACTTTGTTTGATCATTCCTGGTTTGAAGTTGAGGCTGAGAACAGAATTGATAACCCTGCTTTTTTCTGAGGTGCTGGGGCATGTAGTATTATTTTCCATCCTTTAACTTTCAGCCTATGAATTTATGAGTTAAGTGTGTTTCTTGTATACAGCAGACTGTTGGATTTTGTTTCCTAATCCCCTATGCCAGTTTGTTTTTCTTAATTGGTGAATTTAGTCCATTTACATTAATGATTATAATTAAGATGTATTGACTTATGATCAACACATTATTTACCTGCTGTTGTTTACTCTTTTTTTCCTTTTTCTCCTGTGTTTAATTGTTTGCCCTATTTAGTGGGTTCCTTCTGTTCTTGTTCATGGAGTTCTGATCATTTTGATCCCTCTGTAGAACATCTTTCAGTAGTCTGTGTAGGGTTGGCTTTGTCATCATAAAATTCTTTAGTTATTCTTTGTCATGGAAATATTTCACTTTCTCCATCAAACTTGAAAGAGAGTTTTGCAAGGAATAGTAGTCTGGGCTGGAATTTGTTTTCATAGAGGACTTGAAGTACTCTGCTCCATGTTCTTCTTGCCTTCATGGTTTGTGAATAGAAGTCGGCCGTAATTCTGATGG